GATGCACAGAGGCCAGGACGAAGAAAGCAAGGGGTCAGTTACCTCAACTCAGAGACTCCTAGCAGGCCCAAAACCTTTCCTAAAGACACCAAACCCACATTCAAGCAACTCATCTATTTACATTCAGGATAACTCCATTCGCATATGTTAGAGCTACAATTTTCTAGTGAATCCTGTTGGAGACCCATGGAAGATCTACGCATACTGAAACAGCCGGAAATGAGGATCAGAAAGGATTCCCATTCCCCTTCCTTTTATAGTTTTGAGGTAGGACAGCAGGTGCAGGAAAGAAGTCATTGCAGAAACCACCGGGCTGGAAATGCAGCGGCGGAGGCCTCGGCACCTAACTAAAATTTGTTTTTAAAAGCATGCAGCCCGCACTGCTATCTGGCTCGGAGTACGGACCAGGCGACCCAGCAAGGAGCTTGACGTGATAACCAGCACAACAAAGCACCCAATCCTATGATGCGACTGGAAACCTACCTCCTCAACTGGCAGAATCCAGGCCAGGAGGTCGGCCCCGCTCCAGGAGAACCCCGGAGCGCGGCTACCCAGCGCCCCCCGGCGGAGCAGTGAGTCACGCGGCGGGAATGGCGCCACGCCGGCGAGCTGCAGCTGTAGCTTAAGGGGGCCGGCAAAGGTGGTTGGGCTCTCTCTTGGGAAGAAGGTTCCCTTCCGTTTGCGAGGGAGGCCTGCAACGCTGGTTTGCAAGATTGGCTCTGCGCGCGTTACCTCAAGAGTAAGGAAGCAGAGCGCAGAAGGCGCTCCCTCCTGTCACTTTAAGCTCTGGCAATGTGTTTCACGCCGTGCCCGTGGAAACCGCGCGGGGTGGAGCCAGCAAAGGGAAGCGGGGTGGCGCTGACTGCAGGCGCCCTCCCTCAGGCCGGAGCGCAGGGAGAGCCCAGAAAGTGTTATGGCTTTGGAAACGTGCTGCCGGGCGGACCCCCGTGCTTTTTCCTCGAGGTTTGCCAATAAGCAGTGCAGCCGAAGCTGCTGCCCCTGCCGGAGTGGTGACCGCCTGGAGCACCTTGCAGAAAGGACTGCCCGAGTTCACTGCTGCTGCGGCCCCGCCAGGCGCGCTGCAGTCCGCTCGCCGCCCCCTCAGGACTTGACAGCCTTGAACCCTCACGGGGGAGAGGCTCGAGCTGGCGCTTGGGTCGCAAGGAGAAACGCTTCCTTCGCACAAGCACAGCGGCTGCGTTAAGAGGGGGGGTTGCACCCTCCTCAGTTTCCCTTCCCTCAGAACGTAGATTAAAGCAAAGCCTTCAGTGGGGAAGCTGAGCCGACGAGTTATGTCCCATCGCTCAACGGGACCATCCGTTGTAGGCACATAGGCTTTGGCGTCGCCAGTTAAAAGGATCAAAGGTTGTTTAAGAAACTACATTGCCGGATCCAGTGGGCCAGTTGGCTCTGTCTAAGGAGGATTCACACGTTCAGTGGTGCCAGTGCACAATGCGGAGAAAGAAGATCAGAACTGAGTGAGTGGGCTTTGATTTCAGTATTCAGTTGATTGGTATTTTGGGAAGTTTCGTTCTTGTGTAGTACAAGACACGTTGTGTTTGCACGGGTCAAGTCACACTTCCCTAAAGGAAAATAATGCTGCTAAGATGCTAATAAGTCCACAACTTATTCCATGCAAAGGCATCAACTCTTTTTGGATACACGTGAGCTTAGCTAATATGACACATGGGGTGCTTGCAAATGAGACTTTTTATCATAATTCAGAGAGTTTTACAGAGGGTCCAGACATTGGGTTGGTTTGCATGGCACCACAGCCCACCATGGATTATTTAATACAATTTTGCATAATCCACACTTACTGTGTGGCTCTTAGTTTTTCTTCTATCATTGCCAAAATCCGCAGCATATGATTTAATGGCATATGGTGGGTTATGTTGGCTGTTTTAATTAGCTCTAGTTTGATTGAAACTGTTTTCGATGTTAACCTGTTTTACATTTTTATACATTAGTTTTAAACTGTTTTAAATTTTTATGCTGCAATTTTATACTGTGTTTTATTGTATTTCATTGTATCTCTTTTTTTGTATTTTGAGAAGTTGTGAAGTGACCAGAGAGCTTCAAATATTGTATGGTATATAAAATAAAGGAATAAATAACTGCTGCACCTTAGGGCTTCAGAGTGCAGGAAATAAGAAATGATCACCAGGTCTGTATGATCACCATGGCCCACCAAGACTTATTTAAGCTGTGGTGTGTTGCAGTGTGTGCCAGTGACTTTTTTGAATATTTAAGTCATGGCAGGCAATTGTCCTGCCGTATTGTTTCATGAAGCTAACAAGCATAGATTGTTGGCATGGTTAACAAACCACTTTTACAATACTAAGAAAGCCACAGGTTGTGGCTGGCTTGTTAACCATGCCAATAACCAGCCTGTGCCAGGTTCACATGACAAGATAAATCACAGCATCTGTCCACCACAGCTTGATTGTTTGAAATGTCCAGAATGGCTGCAGTGATTGTGCAAACCAGTCCAGTGACTTTCCCTGTCACATTAAACATGATTTATCCACTGTGCTGCAAACGAGCAAAACTTACACAAATGGGTACAGTATTCTAGGCATGTGACCATTCATTTATGAATGATTCTGAGCCATTACAAGCTCTGTGAAACACCAACTTGCAAGTTTGTACTGTAATAACCAGCAATGTGAAGAGACCAGTTTGATAAGTATGAAAAGCTAATGTCCACTTTTGGAAATATTTCCTTGAGTGGGGAAAGTTGACATTTACTACACTTTCAATGCAATTTATATGTGTTTCCCAAAAAGTAGATTCCTTTACTCACAGGTAAATGTTGCAACTACTGGGCTGTATGTAATGTTAGTCTTACTTAGAATTGAATGGGACTTAGAATAACTTTAGATACAACCCATAGCATGAAATATATGCTTTCATAGATAATACTGTACATGAAGAATTATTTTTGATAAGTGATCACACACATCCTCAACTTACTTCTAAATTTGATCTCCGTTCTCCACTGTTTTTTATGAAGATCTTTTAAAATTGTGTATTACATTAATTCAGGATGTGTTTATGCTCATATTATAATCCATTCGACAAGAGGTTATTCTAAAGGTCAGCAGATGGCGCTCTCTCATCGTTCCTGGCATTGCATACTGTCAGGGTAGGCAGGCTGTTGCTCTCTAGATATCTTGGACTACAACTCCCAAAATCCCTGTCCACTAGCCAGGCAGAATGGAGCTCATAGGAATTGTGATGGAAAGAGCATTATATCCTTTCCTGTATTAGAAAGACATCAGTGATGTGGGATGGAAAATTTTCCAGTGCTTTTATTTTCCCAAGAGATACTCTCCATTTCCTGATTTCATTAGCCAAAAAGAATAAGTGTCACTTGCAAATGCAAAACTAGGAAAGATTGGCAGTGTCAGAGTTGCAATTAATGTTTCAAGGTGATTATCTTTCATAGCAAGTATGTGACAATGCATGTCACTGGGTCTCAGTATAAAATGGAATTAATAAATAGTGACTGTGAAACTGAAGGTGCCTCAACAACCTCAGTGTAAGTTAACTGTGTTGAAGCAGATGAGGGGTTGCCAGCATATCACGCACAAAACTTTGGTCTGCTAATATTGAGTGCAATTCTCTGGATGCATTGTGCTGCTATTCTCAGCATCCCCAGCCAGCCATGCTGACTGAAGTATACTGGGAGTTGTATGTCTGGAAGTCACCAGACTGATGAGTCTGAATTAGTGCATCAACAGTTTTCAGTACTTTGTTTATTTCTTGCATTTAAAACAATGTAGGAGAAAAACTATTTTCTTTGATTTTTTTTTTACAAGTATTCCAATAAGAATGTATACAATATAGCATTTAAATCACATTAAGCATGCTTAATTCCTACCCTACTCCACAAATATTTAATGTCAAATATCTATGGTACTTTGGAGCAAAAATTATCTTAACAATTTCATTTGTATTTAGTAAATCAAATATATATTTGCTGAATCAAATCACTTCCTAGTGATTTTTATGTATAAACTGAAAATTAGCATAATTTTTATTAGAAAAATTTCCAGAAAACCTTATTCACTGAAAGACATTCACAGCCAGTTTTTCTTGCCATTTTTCTACAAATGTTCAAAGTAAGAGGGCTCTTTTGCTAGAGCCTCCCAATTATAGAGAAATTTATCAATCTTCTTCCTCAGCTGCAGAGGGCATCAAAGAAATTTGAGGGATTTAAATCATGTATAAATGAAACACAGGGCAATAGAGAGAGTTTTGAATTATGACTGGACAGACCCCAGCTTTATTCATAGATAAAGCCCACTGAGTAACCTTGGGTCAATTACCATCTTCCATCTAAGCAGACCTACAATTTTGCTATGAGAGCGTTAGAGAATTAAGTAAGGCATTTTCTGCTCCTTAGAAGAAAGATGGGATATGAATATAATGAATCAACAAAAAGGAAGTGTCCAAGGAGGGCCCATGTACAATTTCTGAAATGTAACCCTTTCTGTCAGATGCCTTAATTTTTTTCTGTGAAGATTTTCACATTCTCATTCCAACAAAAAAGAAACCACAAAATACCTTAGCCTAAAAAATGTATTGCATGCCTGTTCATGGGCTATAGTTCACTTCATGAGCTGCATCTTACAAAATGGAATACAGTCTATGAAAATTTATGCCATAATCAATTTGTTCATCTTTAGGTTCCTTTGCTGGTTTTTCTGCAGCGGACAACATTGCTACAGTTCTGGAAACCATTCTAAATATTTTCAGGGTGTCTTCTGGTAATGCCATTGTGGTATAGTTCATGATGATGTGGTGATACTGTTGGTATACTGTTATACTGTTGGTATAACTAATCCTGCAGGTTGTGCACTGGAGTATCAACTTTTAGGGCTGTGTCATTAATCATTTCTTAGGAAATGTGAGGCCTGTGATCTAAAGTTGTAACATTCATGCTATGATTCTTCAACAAATAACTCTATAATAAGGTACATAGCATTGCAAAGTGATTTTTTTCCAATATGTTTTATTAGTCCTGTCCGAATATTAACATATAAAACAATCAAGATGTTGACATAGAAATGTGAAATTCACTTTACAAAGATAAGGCTCAAATTTACAGGTACATTTTTCCCTAGGTTTGTTTGTGTGTGTTTGCATTTCAATGAGATAAACCCAACTTAATTCTTCCCAGAGTTGTTTATAAATATTACACAAATCACAAAATAGATTTCAAGTACATAACGTTTTACAATATATTCCAAGCACAGACAGAAATACACAATACTTTACCATTTGACTCCTCATATGCCAAGCTACAACTTTTCTAGTACTTTGTTTCACCCTACACAGTGCATGCCTGTTGACAGACACACCCCTTCCTGGCCTCTTCTCACTTCCACCTGTTCTCTAAGAGATGTCCCTCTTACAAGCATTCATAACTTGACAGAATTCACTGTGGAGCTTTGCTAAAGGTCAAGGATGTGTGACATTCTTGTACATGCTCTTGCATTCAACACGACGTGTATCCTTATTGCACACTCCATTCTCTGAGGTAATCTGTTCCTCATGCAGTTCAACCCTTCCCTGATAACATTAAGTCTTACTGACAAAATCTTCTACTAAATTTGGAGCTCTATAACACGGACAAGACTACATTTTCAAACCTGGGACCCAACTGTTCATATCTGAGGAGCACAGTGAAATTTTATTTACCTATAGGAATCAGAACAGGGATTAGTATACTAAAAGTAAATCTATTTGCAAAGTGAGTGTTGTCTATTTCTATAACTATAGGGCCTAAAATACTAATGACTTTGTTTTAGAAACCAAAGATTGCTGTATCCTTATTGAATTCATGCTAACACAAAAAAGGATTAATCTAGAACTTGTAAAACAATTCTAGGCAGGATCCAGTGGTACAGTTCCACTTCAGAAGCAGCTTTCAATCCCGTTTGCCAAAGAGGAAAGGCAGTTTTTTCCTGTCGCCTTTCTCCTTGTGCCACCTTATTTATTTTATCTATTTATTTGGGTATTTTTACCCTGTGCAATACCCAGTGGGTCTTCCAGAGTAACCTTCCACAGTTACTCTGGAGCGGCCCACAACCCTCTGAAAGAGATTGCTGGGAAGTAGAGAAAGAAAATAGAATTGGTGGGACTTGCCTTTTTTTCTGGAGGCATCTGTTGGATTGAAAGTTGTTCTGCCTCAGAACAGCACCACTGAATTCCATCCTAAATGTGCACCAAACAATTGATCAGCAATTATTTGCAAAGGAACTGATATTGCAGGAAAGCTTGAAGATTAAGTCCTGAAGGTAAAATAAATTATTGCAATTACCTGTGCAAGAGTGCACAGAAAGGGTTAGTCTAAAAAAAGGTGCAAGTGGTATCTTTTCCTTTTTGGAGATGGAGGGCAAGCAAAAGAAAATCACCAAAATGTCCTGTACTAGCTGACTTCTTTAAAAGGGAGAAAGAAACTTCTACCCTGAAGAAGAGGCTTTATCCAAGGGAGCTCTATAATGCTCATGGAACATTTACAAAGGGCTGGTTCAGAGGCTCAAAGCTCTTTTACAAAACATACTGAATTTTCATTGTGTAATTTACAGGCACAGTCTGATACTCAGTTAAGCACTTGTGTGCCACATGAATTTGCTGTACATTTGGTTTTATTTGTTAAAGAACATTTTTGCTTCTTTATGGATGAAACACTATGACTCCTCAACAGGTTAGGTTACTCACAACACCATTATGAAATAAGCTGAACAGGTTGTTGTGAGGATAAAAAAAATAAAATAAAAACTTCCTCTCTTACGTACTGATAAACTCCATAGAAATAATACATAGCTGCAATTCTAACAGTAATAGTGGAGCCAATTTGTTTTCACACAGGCAACACACCCAGTTGGTGTTCACCTGAGTCAAGACTGAGGCTGTAACCCTATTCTCTTTTACCTGGGAGTAAATTCCATTGCTTTAAGGAATTGCTTCTGAGCAAACTTGCATAGGATTGCACTATAAGAATCCTGTGACTGATACAGTTAGATAATTGGGGAAAGGGCAGTGGGGGAGCCAAGCCTGTGTTAGGAAATCCATACTAACATATACATATGCAATTGATGGGTTCTTCCTCCACCCCCTCATCTATTTCAAGGTTGGGCACTAAGACCTACTGATCTTCTCTATACACACGAGGTTTTATGCGTTTATAGCCTCTTAGCAGAATTTAGAGCTACACCGGCACAAAATCCCCAGCACATCAAGACAACAAAGATAACCACACACCACTGTTATAGGGACACATTTATGAGTAAAACCATGTGCATCCATTGTCATTTCTATTGGGTAAAAGAGATAGCATGCACAAGAAATAATAAAACATGAAACAGTGACTCTGGGATTTATTATAATGAAAAACAGTACTGAACAGAATAAGGGACCAAGATAGTTAGCTTCAAATGCCTGGGATTCAGGGGGCAGGATTCTTTTCACAAAGTCTCTATTTTTAGAAACTGGTGTATTTTGAACTTCTATGTATTTAATTAGGTCTATCTAGACTTTTAAATATATATCTATATCCACATTTCTATGTTATGTACAATAATCTACAGTTAATCCAAAATCCCCTAAACCTCTTACAAAACTGTACCTCCACTGCCTTGCAAAGACCTTTCATTACCACTAACTGAAGTGGTAAGCCATAGGGAAAACTTAATTAGGAAATACTCACCTCTTTTCAGCTTTACAATTACCACAGCAGAACTACACATTACACTGACCAGACATGTTTGGGAAACACATGCATCTGCCATTTAACATCAATATAGGGGCAAGCAGAATTTGTAGCACCAACAAACAGGAGGGAGTGCTTAAACAGTCATGCACCCACTAATTCTCCCCTGCAAATATCCCACCCAGGCTGTTTTCCCATACAGCTGAGCTTCTTTTAGAGTTTTGGAATCTACAAACTGGGAGCCACAAGGCATGAATTGGTGGGTGCAAGAGGGGTTAAGCATTTCTTCCTTGCCACTGAATTCTCACCTTCAAATGACCCCTATGTTACCACGTGTTTTCTTCATAATGTATAGTTTCACCCTCAGAAACTTGGTATTTGATAATGTCATTTCAGTTCCATCTAGCAGACCCTGCCTATTTCCCACCTCCAACTACTCACCATCTTGTGCGGATCTCTAAAAACTTCACTCTTCAATTAAAAAACAAAACTTTGCTTAAACATTTTAAAAACTCATGACATGCCCTTGTGCATTTATTTTACTAATCTGTACACTTAAATGTCTTCATAAGTTGTCTTTGCTAAAAATTTACCAAAATTTTGCAAATACATAAAAAATATTCTTAAAAATGAAAAATTGAACCAAGAAAGGAAATCCCAGCAATCAATGTTGCTTGTATAGGCATTGGTTAGTAGAGATTGTTTTACTAAGGAATATATTCAAAAGCATCACCTTTCTGCTGTTACTAATGCTTAAATTTAGTACATCATGGCTTATAATGTAGTATAATGAAATTTATAATGAAATTTCAGTTCTGTATGGTCATTGATAAAAACAGACAAGCAAGAAAAAAAACCTAACCACTTTTTGGTTACTGAAAGGCCACCATGTAGCTAAATAAATTATTCAATTATGGAAAGGAAACTTAAGAATGTTGAAATCTACTGTGGATCTAAAATGCAGAACTACTTGCTGATGGCCTTCAGGATGTTTATGAGCACCTAAGCACTGAATGAAATTCACTAGTTTTGAATATAGCCCTTAGTCTTACCACATTTGTTTACTATCTAAGAGCTGCCAAGCAAGCGGCTCACAAAGTCTATTTTGCAGGCCAACCACTGTCTAAGAGGGCAGTAATATTCAATGTGAAACTGCTGAAACTCTGGAGTCTGGCGGATTTCATGAAGAAAGGAGATATCAAGGTCTGATTCCAGAAGTACAAGCAGAAGAGGAAAAATGACCAGCAATATTCCAAGCCCAACAAAAAGAAGTCTAGAAAAGCTCTTCACAACAGCATTTATCTTCATGTTGCCCATCAAAACCTCATAGCTCCACCTAAGTGCTTTCCGAGCTTCCTTTAGCTCCTCCTCTTCTGCAACCAAAAATGCATTTTCATCAGCCTCCAGTTCCTCAAATGAATCTGTATCTTCTTTTTCATTCTCTGGCCTTGGAGAGGTTTGAAAGAGCAAGTCAATCTCATCATCATTAACAGGAGTAGGGAGCAGGCTAGTACTTGGATTGTACACCATCTCTGAGATTGTTAAAGGTTCTTCCTTTATTTTCTCCTCCTCCTCAATAGAAAGATCAGAACTGTCATCTGCCTCCTTAGCAGGAGAGTTGGATATCATAGGTATTGAAACATCATCTTCTTTCGGCAGCTGGATACCTATGAAAACAGATTATAATGGACCTTTTTAGGTTTCAAACATATATTTGAAAGGGATAGAACCATACACAAAACAACAAAAGAAGGTTTTCAGAAATAGCTGTTTATAATCTAGTAATTCAGTGGTTCATTAAAATTAATGGTTCAACATTTTATATACATGTTGTTAACCGCTAAATGCAAGACCTACATGTTGAAGGTTTTAAAAATCAAAATGCAAATCCACATTTTTCAAACCTCACGTGCATGCATGCTGTCTTGTACACAAGCTCAAAGTTTTGAAACCACAGAGTACTCTGTATTGTTAGACACAGTTAAGATGTGTGTGCAGAAGAATGTGTGGTAATGTGTGGTGTTAATTTGACACCTATAAACTGGTTATATTATTTACAAATCAGGCTCCTTGTATCCATACATTCATGTGAAATACTGGCTACCATACAATTGCATATCTCAGGATATAATCCAATCTTACACATGAGCAACAATTGAAAAGATTGTACATAACGCATCAGTTCATGGCAAAACAGAAGCAAAACCGCTTCAAGAGAAAGTGATTGGAACTGTAGATTTAAGAGTTTTATATGTAGAGCATCTGCTGCAAAAGGTATTATGTTTGCCTTTTGAACACTCTTTCCATGCAATAAGATTATACACTTTGATTTAGAGACTATTGCTAAGAGTACATTCAGTATGATTTTTATACAGATTAATTGAAACGTGGTATATTCTTCCTTAAAATTGCAGCAGCATTGGTTAACTGTTACTGAACCCTAGAGAAGTTCTTGAGGCTGAACCATACCTGGCAATCTGAATATTTATTTTCTTTTAATTCAGTATTTACACTTGAATGTGATATGTAAGATAATTAACAGCAGGTTGAACCTAGACTGATTCACTCCTAGACTAAGTAAAACTGTGTCTGGATCTAATCCAATAGGTTTAGACAATTTGCATTAAAATCTTTGCTATGAAATGAAGAATTTTAGTATTACTTGATTTTATTTTACTTTTTAAAAATATTGTTGCACTGTTTGATTTTAACAAATCATTTATATTTATTTAATATGAACGTATTTTAGTCAATTTTCATTCTGAGATTTACATTTTCCCTTTTAAACATTTTGTTAGGACTAAGTCATCTTCTCTTTACTACACCTCTGTTCCACACCAGTAATATACATGCCAAATGTAGATGAGGCAGAAGAGTTAAGGATGGTTTTATTGGAACTAATGTCACATATCTATTTCCCACTTCACCCATCTCATGTTAACATGTGTCAGGAAGGACAATGAACACTCAAAAAATAGTTTATGTATGATGCACAAAGACCATGAAGAATAACTTGAAATACAAAGAAACTTGCAGTTTTGAAATCAAACTGCATAACACTGTTGTTCCATTTGAATTAAATTCTATAAAATAAATATGAAGATCAAACAAGCACTAATAGAAAAAAACATAGTAATTAAAATAGTTTCCTCACATAATCCATGTCACTAATGAACAACAGACATATGTTGCAATGTCAGGTTCCTCAAAAATGGATTTGGGTGTTTTTTAAAGACAAACAGTTAAGTACAACTCAACTGATTTAATCTCAACTCAAGCCACTGCATGTCAGCCTCCTATGTTGTATATAGATTTGGCAGGATTCCTAGAGTCTTTCAGCAGTTATGATTCCTGAACTATTAACTTGAGATTAAAGTTACAAATGTGGCCCTCATAAGCATGATCAAGCATCTCAGTTTTCAAAGTAGAGGCCAAATCAATTTTATTATTATGTATTTGCATTTTTCAATGTCATCTACACAAGTGTAGTTGCACAGTATTACATAAGAACTCCAATTACAACATCTAAGCTGACCTCACATGCATCTTCAAGTACTTCAGTGAGCATGTGAGAATCGTTGTCCACTTCAATTAATGTACATAAAAACTTACAAATTTATAACATCCTTATAACTATCTTTACACTTCCTCCAACTAGAGCAAGAAGAGGCACTGCATCTCTTTTCTTTCCTAGATGCAAGCCAGTGCTGTCCTGTGACTGGATTCAAATGCAATCATGATACGGTTGGTGGACCTCAAGACAGCCTGTACCCTCTGCAGCCTCCTTTCTGCATCACCCATTCATTATTCTCACTGCCCCTCCTCTCTGGACTCTCGGGAACGCTTTGCAAGGTTCACCAGTCATGGTCCTTGTTCTCTGGTGAAAGTGACTTGTGGTAAAATAACATACGTATTGTTCACCCTTAAACTTTGCCAGTGCTCCAGTTTTCCCACTTTGTCTGGTTCAGAGTGCAGTCAACTCACTTCTCTGAAAAAGATCCTAATGCTTCTGTATTGTTCAGCATACACGTACAGATGTGTAGTTCTGTATATGTGCAATCAAGAACGCACAGTAGCTATCACATGAGCCACCAAGGTATTCTAGGCAGCCTTGGCATCTCTTTAGACAAGCCTAGTTCAAATTCCATTCTTTCACAGTGTCAGCACATAGCAGGTACTTCCTATGGTGAGATCCCATCTCAGTTGGGTATACATGTGACCATTTCAGCTACATTGATGGGACATAATGTGTGCTGGACAATGAAAGGAACATTTGATTCCTCTATTCACATGGATCACAAGGCATGGATCACATCACTGTTACCAGTTTATGGCAAGCAGCAAGGAATGGCTTCTATAGGAAAGGAGACAAATGTAGCTCCATCTGATACCCTATAATTGCAGAATTTTAAAGAATTTTGAGACACCCTACCAGCTTTCACAATCCTTATCTATCATGCCAAGGCATTGAGCTGCCTTTCCTGTGTGCTTTCCCAAGCACTTAGTTTACCATCTGAGACTCTGCTTCAGATTCTACTCAGCCTGAAGGACAACAAATGTCTGGTGGTGGTACTGAACTTGTAGAATGCCCTCTGGAGTGGCCTGCCTCATTCTAGTACTGAGTAGAGACCAAGTTTAGATCTAGCTTTTCAGAAAGGCTTTTGGTATGAATTGAAGGTTGCTTTTATTGTTTTCTATATACTGGGTTTTTTCTCCATTTTGATCAGTTTTTGTTTTGTTTCTCGTTGGATGGTTGTTTATTTTGCAATGCTACCATTTTTGTTTTTATTATTTCTGGCAGAGTTTTATTGTTGCAATATTAATTTATTTTGCATTGTAAACTGCTCTGGTTTGTTTTTAAGAAGAGATGGGTAATTGTTTTTCAATAAACAATGTAATGAAGCATTTACAGTGTGGGTAATTTTACATAATGGCAAGAAACAGCATAAAGATTCCACAACAGACTTAGCCAAACTGGTGCCCTCAGATGTTTGGGACTACAACTCCCATCAGCCTTGGACAACATGGCAGGTGGTCATGGAGAACAATAGTTGTACTCTAGTGCACCTGGTTGCAAAGGCCACTTTACAGAAAAATGTTGCCCAACAAAGCTTTTCCTTTTTAAGTGAAGAGAACCAATCTTTACATAACATTTTCCTTCTTAGTTTTATTAAACCCAGCTGAATTTTTTCTCAACTGATGAGCTAGTTTCAAAAGAAATGTCACAGTGGCTTTAAAGAAAGAAGGTGCTCTAGCATTCAGTCCAGAAAACTGAATTTTTTCTACATAGGCTATGATGTTCTGAAAATCCATTTGTTCTTTCTCAGCTCAAGAATTCACTTTTCAGTTGTGTGCAGTTTAGAGATACTTAGTACTGAACAAGCTTTTCTGTGGCAATGTGTACTACATACCCAAGGCTGAAAATAAAATGGCATGAAATTATACTGCCTGTAATTCATAGTTTCTTGCAAAGTTTTATGTAAGCAATTCAGTTCCTTACATGTAACCCTAACTCTATATATTTTAGTCCTGAAATAGTCATGTGGCAATTAAACATCTTTGTCAACTTAGGTTGTCAGCTAGAATGAATTTAATTGAACCTAGAAACACACTTGTCATTGAAAATTTTACATTTAACAAAGCCCCACCATATCTTAGCTAATTTCCCCTGATCTTTCCTGCTCTGTTTTTAGTGGGGTGTGGGAGAAGAAAGGTGAGGAACAGAAAAACTACTTAAATATTAATGCTACAGTATACTGGATTCAATATTTATACCTTTATTACAATGACAAACTGAACAGTGGGGAAAGCACAGAGTTTTCTGGCGAAAAGGTTTCAACAAGTATGCAAAAATGAACTTCAACTTACCAGCACTTGTAGCTGTAATCCGAGACCCATGTCTCAGCAAACGAATGCACACATCTTTGCTACAATGGTTAACCATTCGCAAATGAATACTCCTCCTGGTTTGGATTTTTACTAAGCACTTCACCATTTTGACTAACTATTATGTTCACTATGGCAGCCTGAACCAGTCACCCATACTGGCTGTGACCTTTACCAAGTTTCCACTGTGTTCAGCTCAGGAGGGTCCAGCTGAATGAATCAAATAACAGGCTTCTAACTTGGCCAATAGAAACAGCCGACCAGAGAACACTAAGGAAGGCTATTTTTAAACCTTTCCAACTGTCTCATAATATACAATACAATTAACGTCAAATACCAACCTTTTCCTTAGCAGTTGCTAATAAACAGCTGCACTACACATACCGGTCTAAGCCTTTTAACATTTACTACACTATAATGCAGAGTAATGAAAGAAACAGTAAAGGTTCACATGTGCAAATATCTAAGGAAAAGTTGTGACCTCTCACTTTTAGGGGATGCATTCTGTTATTTAATATTGCATGAGTACTTTTAATGAACTATTTGTGGGAGCGGTCCTTTGCAATACCATCCTAATCCCCGAATGCAGCCAGTTGGAAAGAACAGGCATATGACAGGGACTGGCCTCCACTAATGGAAAGGAGCTCGACTGTCAAAACTCTGCTGCAAGTTCAGAAAGAGAAAAGTGACAACTGGCAGTGTTCCTCCTAGTAGGACCCCATGCAAGTTCCTGAAATAGAGCAATCAGAGGGTGGGGCAAAGGGGAACTGGCTGTGGAGCCCCAGCTCCGTGTGGTCCTGAGGCAGGGCAGATCAGGGCCCATCACTTTCCCCCATTGCTTTGATTGGGAAGGATTTAAAATGCGAAGATTTACTGACTGTAAGCCCCAGAGCAATCACCCTTACATCTTCTGCAGTGGTTGGTATGAGCTGCAATTTGGGATGTGAATCACAGCACCTCCCCATGCTTTGCCTGAAGCTTGTAGCTTTGCAGATACCACTGCTCCTTGTTGCTCACTTAAATCTGCTGTAAGATTTATGCTTGAATTAGGCAGGAAAAAATATCTTTGCATGAAGCAAAGAGTGATAGAAAAACAGTTATTAGGGTTGTTTCTAACATCAGTTATATTGTTTCTGGCAAAATTTGACCTAAATGTAACACTGAAGAGAATGGAGAAATTAATTTGTAAAGGGGAGATTTTCTGTTGTCGTGTTTGATGTCAGACAAGACATAAAAGCATTACCATATGAGAATGCTTCTCCCACAGCTGTCCAATGTACACTTCTAGTGACACTTATTGATGTTGTCATGCAACTGACATAATGGTGGAACAGCACCACTGGAAGGGCTATATGTTTGGAAGGAGCAGTCTATGTTGCAGGAAAAGCAAAGTCTTTGGCAAGTCAACATCTGTGAAATGGAGACAAGCAAACAATTGGGCAGGGTAAACTATGGCAGAATTCAGGGGTAGTTTTCACCTGCAGATTCTTGACCATTTAGGAAAAATAAGGTTATGAAGAATGCAAGGGAAATTGGAACAACAAAATTAAAAATCTCTTGCAAAGGGTTATTTTGTATGGAAAAGGTCCCAGATAAAATTATTGTCATCTTGCACATAGAGCTGTGAAAGATTTCTGTCCAAAATCCTGGACAGCCACTGCCAGTCAATGCAAACAACACAGAAGTAGATGGACCAATGCAATTCAAAGCATCCTTCTGTGCTCCTCCTAATGCGTTTCTCTTAAGGAAATGTGGATAAGGGCTAGCACTGATGAGGAAGGAACATAAGTGGGTAATGTTCCGTTCAGACCTTTTATGTAGCCCTCAAGTTCTACCACCACATTTATCAGGTATCAAATATATTGACAGAACTGGCATTGCTCAAGAATTAATATCATATCACAGCTGTTAGTCAGCAAAAGACAGTCTGATATGCAGAAATGATAGTTTTATGCACTTAGTATATCACAAAACTAAGCACAGTCATATTCCAGTATAAAGCTGGAAACAAAGATATACTTTTAAACTAAATAACATACAAATTAGAGGCTCAGACAGATCCTAGAGTATTTCCCAGATTTCATTTCCCACTTTTCAGGGATTGGGTGAAGTGGGGTGTTGGTGGGACTCTGCCTCGGCAAAATTACTGCTGGCTCCCTCAATGCATTTTTCAGGAGCAGCCTTTTTTTTCTGAAGGACAACAAAATAACTAACCCTTTCCTGCTTTGGGCTGTTCTGTCATGCTTTTCAGACATAAAATCCTTGTGTAATCCTGTCGATACAAAACAGAGCCCTTAGAGCAGTTTCTAGGATATAAAAAGCAAGGCACTGACTGCCAACAACTGGTGTCGACATGCTATTTTTATATGTATAAAATCATTAGGGTCTCACCATATCATTTGTGTGTTCCCTGATTCATAGACAACCCTCCTGAGGTGGGCAGATGGCTCTGGGAGGTTAGCAAATGCACTCAGGCGAAAAAAAGGCATCCATCTTACCAAAGGGGAAAAGAGAACCAAGGAAGAGTTTGTGCTGAAGCATATAGTCTGAAATCATATAGTTGCGTCAGCCACACAGAGACTAGCATTCAATTCAACTGTCTGCAAGCACAGAACAGAATCTGCCTGTTCGCAAATGTATGACAGTCTACATCCTCCTTATGTGATAAATCACTGCAGCAGAGCCAAGCTGTCAAAAAATATTCTAAAATGGGAATGCCCAAACTTCATCTATGGTCAGGTATGGCTGTTTTACTTCAAGGACACTAAACAGATCAAAAAGAATCCTTGCCAAGTAGATCTAAAACAATCTCTAAGTTTCATTCAGAGACAATAGTGGATGATTCCATGCCCTTTTATTTATTTAAAACATGTCTATGCTGTCCTTTGCATAGCCTCAGGAAGGCTCACGACAAAATAAATAACCATATAAAATACAATTAAAATTCACTCATAAACATTAAAACATTCATAACCATTATTCAAGATTAAAAGAAGAAAAGGAAAAAGGAAAAGAAGAAGAGAAAGAAAATGCGACTACAAACTCATTATTTCTTATTAAAATTATTGATTTAATTATTAAAATGATGGGTAAATAAAAAGGTCTTTACCTGGTGCCGGAAAAGTAGAGTGTCGGCACCTGGCGGACCTCTCTGGAAAGCATATTCCATAGTCTGGGTGTCACCACAGAGAAGGCCCTCCTCCGAGCAGTTACCCTCCGTACCTCCTTCAGAGAGAGTTCCTGGAGCAAGGCCTCCCCTGCCGATCTTAAGGGGCTTGAGGGCATATATGGAAAGAGATGCTCCTGCAGGTATCCTGGTCCCAAGCCATTTAGGGCTTTGTAGGTTAGCACCAGCACCTTGAATTGGGCTCGGACTTCAATTGGGAGCCAGTGAAGCTGACAGAGGGCTGGCACTATATGAGAATAATGGCCGGCCCCCATCAGCAACCTGGCAGCTCTATTTTGTACCAATTGAAGTATCTGAACTGTTTTCAAGGGCAGCCCCAGGTAAAGAGCATTACAATAATCCAACTGGGAGGTTACCAGAGCATGTGTCACCGTTGCTAGGCAGTGCTCATCCAGGTAAGGACTACTGGAGTTTTGTTACAGGAACTCTGTTTTTAGACAAATGATAGTGACCTTCTGGAAAACCTAATTTATTCTCCTACAGTTGTATTCACCAATATAGACATATGCACAAACATTAGTGAAAAGTTTGGTGAAATATTAGCAGTAATGACATTTACCAATAGTTTGCTTCCCCACTCCCACCACACCTGCCCACCCTCAGCATCTGGCACATGGTTTTGGAACATGCATATTCCATTTAGCTTTCACAGGTTTCTTGCTGGTTAAATGCACTTTCCCTGAGATGGAAGTGTTAGCTTTGCTAAATATGCTGGACCTGTCTGTAATGCAAATTGTGCTTTTGAAAATGTTATATGGATCTTTCATACAAACAGCATTAAAACAAATAGTCCAAGGCTGCCTTATAATAATCTAGAAGGAACATTTAAGAGGATTTTATTATGCATATTCATGGGGATGAAGGTGTCCTCTGAAAGAGTGCTGTTTCTGAACTTGTGTCCAGCCTTTTTAAAAAGAGGCAAAGACCATCTAAATTGCAGCAAAACACTGCCGCTGCTTCTGCACAATCATCACACTACTTTTGCAAGACTGAGGCTAGGCCAAATATATGTCAGAAAAGGAAGGTGCTCCAAAAGGTACTGCCTATGTAAAGCCTAAAGTCTGTCCCTGTCATCAGAAAAACAACCTTTTATAAGGAACATGAGATCACAGAGCTCCAAGGTGATTCCAGTTGCTTCATAAGGACTACATATTAATAGTTCATGACTCATGAAATTCTCCTAGAGGAAGGTTTCAAAGGACCATGCCCTGCATGAATCTTATGACTAAGGGAAAATGCACTAGTAACTAAGACATGACAGTCTGCAAAAATCAATCAAAATGCAAATAAACTGGTCAGAACTGGGGAAAGAGGATGGCAAGGTCCTTTGGTAATCAAATGGGATACATTTTGGTCTACCTCAAACAGTGTACAAATGTCATTCCTTCAGATAGACACAGTGTGCAAACTCAGAGGACACTGCCAACAGAGAATGTTAGATGGCTTTGGTGATACCTCTGAGCATAATCCCCAAACCCATCACCGGAACACTGGTAACTCTAAATCATGGACATGTTCCTATGATGAGGATGGATAGCATAAAGGCACAGTAATTTCTGGGTTTTTGCCAGCCCTTCTGCTTTCTCTCCATGACACACACAAGTAGGCATGCTATTCACTGATGCTGTGAATAGTCCAACCCCACCCACATTAGCCATTATATACCCAGGCCATCAGCACTCACCGAGAGACCTGGGGGCACGAACACGAGAGGGAGTATCACGAGGCATGGAGTAGGAGCCAGATTCCCAAGCTGTCAGGCTTCCAGGAAGGAACACAGGGATGGGGTCATGCTGGACCAGGTGGGAACTGATGGCAGGGTCTTCCCCTGCCAGAGTATAAAAGCAGCAGCAGCAGCAGTGAGAGCAAGGACCCAGAAGCAGGAGCCTTTTGGCCAGCCAGCTAGAGAAACTGAAGACTTCATCAAGTTTAGGAAGTAACTCAATTCCAGTCTAAGGAACCAGCAAGAGAGAATAGCCAAGGAGGCTTTCAGGACTGGAGTAATCCCAGCAACATATCCCAGAGAAGCATGCAAGGAACACTTTCTAAAGCTCTCATTAAAATGTACAACTTATGCAGGCAAAAGGGGAGAAGAAACATGCACAAAGATGGAACTGAGTAGGGGAAAGTCAGTCACATGCATCCAGGTAATGAGAGCTCTCCTGTGGAAGTATTTTATAGAGGAATGCTGACTGGCTTCCACCCAGGAATATCAGAACAGTAAGAGCATCAAGGATACCACCAGCAGCAACTAAAGCTCCTGATTAAAACCCATGAGCAAGAGGCTGCTCTGAAGTGCTCTGGAGATATGCTTAGTGAAAGGAAAACTTACACAGATTCATCTCTAATCCCCCGAGTGGCCTACACAAACTCATTCTGCTTTCCCTGGCATATAGTCACAAGCACAGCCCTAGTGTTTTCCTCCTATCAAACCAGTGGTTCCCAAATGTATTCTGTTCTGATGACATTTCCATTTCTTCTCTGTTAGGTTTCTACAAGAGAATCTGCTTGAAAACACAAAACATTGTGATTACCATTTTTGTGTCCATTTGGGTAAATGCTGTTCTGCTGAACACTCTCCACAAGGTTTTCAACAATAAAAAAGCCACTGCAGGACTCAGATCCTGGGTACAGATTACAATTTGGTCCAAGATGCAATGAAAAGCTTTATATGAAATGTTATTTTGCTACCTTGGGACCAAGTAGTTTATTTTCCAATCTGTATCCAGCAGCTTCCTATTTCCCCATCCCACCACCATTTTCACTCTAGAATAAGTGAAATTTCTACATTCCTTATCAGAAGTCCTGTACCCTAGAATTAAAAGATTCCATGCACAGAATGTTAACAAAATGGTCCTGCTGATTCACATATATTGCAAGTGAAAAGGACCTTTTAACATTGCCAGGCATGATCTCTGCACTAGATCAACTTCCCTGGTTTATTTATTTAGTTAGGCCATGTACAAATGAGTGCATGAGAGACCAAGGAGGGGAGAGCAGTTGATGAACAGACTTGCCTTCATCTGAGAGAACCTCTTCCTGGTCTTTTGGGGATGGAACAAGAGGTTGCAGAGGCTCCATATTAATTATGAGCTGTTTGTTCAAAGAGTGAGAGCTGTGACTTTGTGCAATGCTGGTTCTGAGAAGGAGAGAAGCACATAGTTATTACCCTAATAATAATAATAATGCTGTTGAAGGTCCGCAATGTCTCAAAGCATATAACAAAAGACATGGCACCACTGATTTATGCTTCATTGCTATTTTCTTCAGAAAGTTTCACTGTATAGAAACACATGACACAAAGCAAGAGTCTGTGGCCCTTTAAAACATGTGCACACATGTACGTGCAAGCACACAAATGGTAATATGTACTTTAAATCACTAGAATTTCTTTATGTCAACCTTCCACAACTTGGTGCTTCAGATGCTTTAGACTTCATCTTAGGCCCAGCATAGTCAAAGGTGAGGAAAATGGAGTTGCAGTCTAAAACACCTGCAGAACAGCAGGCTCAGAAAGACTGCCTTATGAAACATTTGAGTGGGTGCAGAGATCAATTTAAGTAAAACATAAAGGTTAAACAAAAATATAAAAAGCAAAGAAATGCAACTTGATTAATGTCTTTCTTCAGTAGCGAGTCCTTTTTTTCCCTGAGTAATGACTTCAAGTAGTGAAAAAGGAAGTGTTTTCTTTAGCCAGTTCCATTAACCATTTGCTAACTAGGCATCACATTTAAGACTCAGAGAATTACTAAATAAAACCCTGGTGATCAAGGGTATAATACAGCCAAAATATAAATTGCATACATTACAGTGGGATCAAAGATGCACACTTTGTATTCACATCTTCCCAGCTGTCGTAGTTGTTAAATAAGCTACATTCCTTCTATTACCTTATAGCTAATGCAGAATTAAGGCTAGTCAGTGATTGTGGAAGTTCCCCTTTGTTATTTCTTCACTGGGTGTGGGGCATATGGTTTTCCTGAACTGATGAGCTGGGCTTTCAGGTTAGAGGCTATGAGACTGGCAAAGTGAAAGTACTTATAGTTGATATGTGAAAGATAACCTTTTCAACTTATCTTGCATAAGACTGGCCAAGATAATGTGGCAACTTTCTGCTTGATGAGTGACTGGCCAAATATGCATTGTGTGACTTTATAATTTAGGGATATATGTGAATATTATTTCAATCCTTTTGTCTAAATTTCAGACAGAAAAAAGGCACAGAAGGACAGTGCTGTCACTGAAGTGCAAGGCTGACTCTTCTGTTAGATAGAGTCTATTGGCTGAGGCAGCAGATGTGGCAGGGATAGGTCCCTGCGCCCTGGGCATTCTCCTCACTTGGAAGAGAGAGCTGTTTGTGGCACACGGACGGAGGATGGTCCCATACCGCATACACCAGCCCTCTGCTTTCAGGCCTGTTGTCCAACCCTATCCCAATTGCCACGGTTGCTGTAAGAGTCAGCACCACTCCAGCCAGCTTCTGTTCAAGGAACAGAGGGAAGCACCAGCCTATCCTTTGTTCCAGGCAGCAAATGTCTTGGTCTTTCTGGCAACCAAGAGCAGTAGCCTCCCATGAAGTTCTCTGAATTTTCACATCAGTTCATAAGGGAATTATTTAAATTAGAGAGTACCTGTGCACTTCAGGGGGCTCCCTCTGGATTTTAGAACTTGCTTCAACCACCTCTTTGGCAACTTTTCCACTATAACAAGACACAACATGTAACATACAAGCTATTTGTTAGAGAAAGATTTCATTTGCAGCGCAGTAACTGATAAATCTATTTAAAAGTTATCAGATAATATAAACATGTGATATCTTTAAAAATTAATAACATTCCTGTAGAATATATTTATGTAACTCTTTATATTATACCTGTGGAAACCAACACTTATACTATGTCAATACTACTTGATAGCAGGATGAAACCTTTTCCATTAGCAAGCGCTGTTGATGCTACACAAGTATTGGTGTCCATTAGCACAAGGCAAACAGTGGGATTGGCCAAACAATGGCAGTTTCCCAGTATCCCAGAATATATTGATTTCTATATTTATTAACAGAATAAGTTCCAGTTCCAGTTAAAGGCAATAGGACTTCTGCTCAACTGCCTACCAAACAAAATGGGCCTCCCTCTCTTTGTACACATTTCCTAAGAAGAAACCGGGATGCAATTCTATGAACTCAAAAGTAAATGCCAAATTAATGTGTATACAACTGCAGTTCTACTCTCCACACTCTGTTTATTATGAGCATATAGTTTATATACTTCCATATAGCCTTTCAATCTTAGTCCTGGATCATTTACAAAAGAATGCACTAATTAAAATGCAAATATAAAAAAAAGCTTTGCAAAAGGACAGTTTTGGTAGGCACACAGAGAGGCAGGTGGCTCTCCAAAGAATTCAAGACTCCCTTTATTTAGTTAAGATTACCAGAATAGGAAGTAACCAACCTGGAGCGGGGGGGGGGGGGGGGGGGGGGAGGTTGGATTTCAGATGGGAATTTTACAGTAGTTATAGTAGGGTAAGAAAATACTTACATGTACCGAAACCTGCTGCCTTTAAAAAATATTTTGCTGCTGGACATAGTCTTGATTTGGCTTGATTTTGCATACCTTCAAAAGAGAGCAGAGCAGAGCAGAGGGAGTTATGTTATCAAGGAACCAAAAAAGGCATGTGTTAATATTTAAGAATTAACATTATAATTCAAACATTTGCTTTCAGTTTTGCTATATTGGTTTGGGCTGCTGAAGGATAAGAAATTAAAGCAACTTTTACAGCAGTGGTGCACACTCCCCAAGCTGCCTCCTACTGGAACCATTTGCGACAAGCTAGGGACAGGGATCTTGATGCTACCTCTGATTTATGATCAGGGATTTTTCTATACAGCATCTTCCTTCCTAGAAGAGGATGTGTGGCACACACAGGAACCCCCTTGTTACTTCTGAGCGCAAATCAGAAGTAGTAACATTATCAGGAGAGCTGCAGCTATGGCTGCCCTGAATGCCCTCCACAACAGGCAGGCAAAGCCAGCTTCATGGAGCACAGGTCTTCTCCAATGGGTTAACGCCTGTGTATAAGGTCTTGGTGGACTCACCAAAACAATCATGATATTAAAAGCTGTCGCCTTGCCCCTTTAAGTTATTCCGATTGTGATGGAGAGTGGGGGGAGGGGCATATGGCTCCCTATGCCATTCTGGTTGTCCACTGCTTTTTATTTATTTGGGATTCTTATATGCCGCCCCATTTGCATAAGCCTCGGGGCGGCTTCCAACAAATAAATAACAATACAAATATATAAAAGGGTATACAAATATATAAAAGGCTTTTCAGGGTACATATCCTTTTCAAGGAACATCCATGAGGACTGCTTCCCAAAGTTGCAATGCAGCCTCAGATTATTGCAGAGAGACCAAAAGAGGGGATTCTGGCAAGATAGGAGAGGAGACACAAAATTCTATGACCTCCCCAGCATTAGCTTGACCCCATCAGCATCTCCTTCTAGAAGCTTGTCTAGAGAAAAAACATTTTAAAAGGTGATGGAGAAGCTAACGCACCTCCTGTCCTACTGGTAGCAGCCTAGTGAGAGACAACTCAACAGCTTTGCACCCAAAATCATCTGGATGAAATATACTTAACCTAACAGTAGATTATTAAGAAAAAGCTACCTAGCATGCCACTTTAAAAGCTACCAAACAGATTAGCATGAATTTTGTATTTTTGTTAAGCCTTCACTAAGCTAATCAGCAGACAAATCAAAGTGCATCTTGTTATTATAACGTGGCAATTTAACATGAAAAGAATCTAAAATTGCTTGATGTTCTCTGCTCATCAACATATTCTTTATTACATTATTGCAATTATAATAGATTTGCTTACTTGTAAAAAGCCTGGTTCTCTACTCCACATTTCCAAAGATGCTTGCAAGCTGCTGGTGTTGAGGTATGGAATGACAACATAGCCTTTCTCTGTATGTTTGAGGGGGGAAAATAAACAATTGTAGGTAGGCACTTTGCTAATTTAAGGGAAAATTTTTAATTTGCCCTTGTTCATCTTTTCCAAGATCCAAAGCTAGGGTTCTGGTTTTCCCTCCTCACACCACACTAATGCTGTTCTTCAATCTTCCTTCAACCCCCTGTCTGGTTGCTTCCAGCTTTTTCTGCCTTACCCCCCCCCCCACACCCCGCCCAACTCCTCGTGTTCCTTGGGGAATGGAATTTGTAGGTGACATCTAGGCCTCCTGCTCCTTTGATAACTAGATCTCTTAGTTGGGATGAATTGCGAATATTAAAACATCTGGATAGATACCTTGGATCAGGCATGATAATTCCGCTAATTCATAAACCAAATGAAATAATGGTTTCATTTCTGGACATCTGCTCTTACAAATGATTCTGGGTCTAGCTTTTCCTACTTACAATGTAATTACATAATTAATAAATATGAAATTACACTATGATGAGCAATCCTTTGCAATAGGCTATATACATAGATATTACATAGGCATTTTTCTTAGCATTCTTCTCTGCCTAAATCTAGGCTACTCTCTCTGTATTTATTTGGGGCACAATCCTATACATGTTTAGAAAGTCTGCCTAAACACGCATAGTATTGATTGCACCCTCAGAAACATTAAGCTCACTGCTCTAATATGCAAGGCAGAATATATATTTTGTAAAAGAGGAAGAATTAAACATGTATGGTATTAACTGGGAATGCCCACATTTTAAAATTTAAACCTTGTAGAATAAAAGAAATATAAAATAACCAACCTCCTTCTGAATTCCAATCACATAGAATGTCTTCCCTTCAAACTTTAATTTACAGACATCACACCTATGAAAAGAAAGCCCTTTAAATGAGGAAAATAGATGACAGTTTTAAAATGTGGCAGTTTCATGCAAGTGTAGTCAATTTATTAGCATTGAGAAACAGCTGCTCTAGAATGAATTATTCCTTAGTATGAAAAATAAGGGCATAACTTATTAAAACCCATAGCATAAAGTAAATGGAACTTTTCAATACATTTTAAATGTTGTGCTTTCTATATCTTTAATAACTGGATTGTCAGCCTGTGGGTAGGTTTAATTCTGTGTGATTGCAGGCAAAGTAATATACACAAGTATAAATAAGAAATGGTAATGATTAAAAGCACTTTAAAGAATTTCAGTCTCAGTTAAAGCAAAAATGAGTTGATAAGATGGTTTTTACACCCTATGATATTTTATATTCTTCAGATGTAAGTATATGGAATATAAGAATTATATAGTGTATGGAAGTAGATGGTGCTCAGACAGATAGAATGTCCCCCAAATTGTCCAAATGGACTTTAAGTATAAGTAGGATTGCACACTTGCAGCCTAACCTTCTGAGTTCCTTGGACTTAGACAAGGTGTGTATCCAACAGTTGGGTTTTAAGTTTTGTTCTTGAGGGTATCTTTGCTTTGCTTTAATCAAAACCACATTTGAATGAATGAATTTACACACAATTCATGTAATAAGTCACTATACCAACATTGATTATGGACTATCATGCAAATTCATAAGACACAGTTCTATAATTTGATACGGCATAAATGAACTAGTTTTTCCATTAGTGTGCTCAACTTTAGTAGAAGATGGTTGATGCCTTAAGCACCATAAGGATGCACTAAAAGGAAAGCTTTATGTCAAGTAGTGTTTTTTGAACTTTACAATGCAACAGAGAAGACATTGTGGTACATTTCAGACAGGCAGGCATTCTTAACAAATGAAGGAGTTTTTCAGTTTCATATGCTTCAATCCTATTTCAGTCAGTGAGACTTCTGAACATGCTTGCGCAGGATTAGACCCTTTCTATATTCTTGGGTACCTGCAAGCAAGGCAAGAGTATTGTACAGATCTTATTGAGTATGTAGCTTCTTGCACTTAAATCCAGTGCAGCTGCATCTATGCTGCAAGGTCACTTTCACAAGCAGACATTAAAGTGAAGTAGCTTCAGTGCTTAATTTGAGACTGGATTTCCCAGGGCAGGAATCTGGAATCAATTTCAAAACATAGCATAATATGGCTCTCAATATAGTAAGCATCTTCCCTTACCGCCCCACCCCTGCACACTAGGAATAAGCCATATCTGCTCCAGGTTAAACACTTACAAAAGTAGAGATACTGATATTTTTTCAGTAGGGAATCCCCATGCTTTCTTGAGATGGATCAGAGGTCAGGAACCAATCATGTTCAGGTAAATTCAGCACCTGACTCAGATGTTGCTTTCTCCCAGAGTAAGAAGATCTGAGATATGAAACAGCCTGAGACTGTGCTGTGATTACCCCTTGATAAGGAATGCCTTAATAAGCCCTGAATCTTCTCTTATATGTGCATGATGCTTGAGGAAGGAAGTGCTTCTGCTCACGTGTTCAGTTTTCTTGCCCTGGTCCTGAAACAGCTCCCTCAGGGAACAACACAACAATAGCACCTGAAAGTTAGCAACTTGATTCAACAAAAGGTTTTAAGCTTCTGCCTCCAGTCCACTCCTCCTAATAGCCACCCTCTGGCCAGAAGAATGAAAGCCTTCCGGGGCAAACCCCTGTGTACATGGATTCCAGAGACTCTGTCTCAGGCTCAAGAGCCCTACATGTTAGGCTCAGACTGTGATTCAGGCCTGGCCATGGTGCTGGACCACAGTTGTTCTCTGGTGCTGCTGGCCTGATGGATTGGCCTGGTCTTTCCAAATCTAAATTGGAACTCAGGCTACTGCTCCAGCTAGTGGACCTGAGTGTGTCCGTTTCATTAAGTGTCCATTTCTTATCACTGAACTACCAGAAGCTCCCCCATCTCAAATCATAGTTAAGCACATTTTAGCCTTTCTTGGATATTTTAAACAGATGCAATTAGTGCTAGGCAGGGCTAAATTTCATATATATACTTTTCTGTCCGAACTACCTCACATAACCCTGCCAAAATCCCTGTTTTCAATTAAACCTGTAATTTTGGCACATGCCAAAAGCAAACATTACCAAAAGGGGGTGCATTTTTTCTACCTTCCCAAGCACTGATAGTCTCAGGAATGGATTAAAAAGTTGGAGGTTCCAGGAACTACAGGGGGTGAGGTGACACTCTGAGATTCTCACTGCGATGGGAAGGAATGTCAGCCGCTCCCTGCTCTGAGCAAAGATCACTTAATATCTTGCTTTGACAGCTGTCATGTCAAAGCCAAGTAAAATAGAAAACCTATTTTAAAACCTCTCTAAGTCCATGTTCAGACCTGCTGCACTTTCACAGTATCTCCCATGACACAGTCCAGGTGAGACTTTCCAATTTTGAAACTGTGGAACTGCACATCACTGCAGTTGCAAAAGTCTGGCTTTAAAAATAATATGAAAAACATTGTGTATATTTGGGGCACTAAAAGAAAAAGGGGTGACTAGGCAGTGACAGCTCCTCCAATGCACCACTTGAGCCAATTGGAGGAGCTGTCACTAGCTTTCATGTCAAAGATCACTGTTCTCAATGTCCAGATAGGAATGGGGGGAACCTGCAGCAAATGAAAAGCGCTGCAATTGCAGCAGGAAGCATCGAGCAGGGAGCCGCTTGGGCACTGGTGGTAGCCTGGAAAATCTTGGCAAGAGCAGTAAGGGGCCTTGCCACTTCCCAGTGTGGTCGATCACCCAGATTTGGATGACTGGGCAGCCCATTGCGAATCCAACAACCCCAGAACAAACCATGGCCTGGCAAGGTGGTTGAGTGCTCTCAAACATTTCACCCTGTGGAAAGCAGTCGGGTTCATAAAGCATGACGACCTAATCTGGCTTGTCACCCATCATGAGTTGCCATGTTGTGCGAACTCAACCTTGACAATGAAAATGCAGAAAAATGAAAGGTTCCAAGTTTCTGAGAGTCGTTGAGCAAGACACCCTTAATGCTCCCTCCCAGTGAGTCCATTTTTGCACTCTCATCATCACCAATTGCTACAACTTCTCAGTTTCCCTCTCCCACTTGCTTGCCTGCCAAGTAGAGTGCCAAAGTTTTTCTACATAAGGCTTTTATTGTGCATCTGCAATTCCTTACTCACACATCTTGATGGGCTCTTTAGACAACTTCATGATTCTGCAGTTTTGCCTTTTTTCAGAGGATGTTTCTCAGGATTTTTTAAAAACTGGGAATAATGTAAGACATTACATTATGTCTTTCCTTTTGCTTCTGTATTTCAGCCATAGCATGTTCCATCAAGAGCAGTGGTGGCAAACCTCTCTGTCGGCATGCGAACCAAGTTGCCCCAGCAGCCGGGCATCAAAAAATAGCACACATGGGGCCATGCACATGCTCGGAAAGGAGTAGCGGCTCCAGGTGATGATGTCACAAGCCGCAACTCATTAGCTGCGACTCGTCTGAGCTTTCGCATGGCCAGTAAGTGTGCTGCAAAGGATATATATATCTATTTCCTTATACTGGCTGTGACTTGTTTTTTCTAAACTAAAACGTTGGTTTTCAGATTTTATCGCAGTGTTGGCACTTTGTGATAAGTAAGTGGGTTTTGAGTTGCAGTTTGGGCATTTGGTCTCTAAAAGGTTCACCATCGCTGGGTTAGAATTAGAAAAACGAGGTGTCCTGGTATGATTTTGAGGGATGGAATGTATTTAGAATGGGCAGAAATGTTGAGCTCTGCAGAAAAAGCTATTCAAGGAAGGCTTTTTCAAAATCACCCCTTTCAATGGTATTTTACTCCTATATTAGGGTTAGGGGAGTGCACCAGGGTAGGGTTAGGCTAGTGGTGGAGAACCTAAGGCATGCATGCCACAGCGGGCATGCAGAGCCCTCGCTGTCAGCACACGAGCCAAGTTTCCCCAACATCGCCCAAGCAGGCGATGATGTCACGAGCCACAACTCATTAACTGCGACTCATCCAAGCTTTTGCATGGCCGGTCAGTGTGCTGCCAAGGATATACATATATTTCCTTGGACTGGCCGTGAGTTGTTTTTTCTAAACTAAAACCTTAGTTTTCAGCTTTTATTGCAGTGTTGGCACTTTGCGATAAATAGGTGGGTTTTGGGTTGCAGTTTGGGCACTTGGTCTCTAAAAGATTCGCCATCACTGATCTGGAGGCTCATCAATGGGAAAGATGGAAAGGAAGCACATTTTGTGGACAGCTTGGATCAGAATTCTGCAATGAAACTGAAACAGATGCAGTGATTAACAGCCTTGTGTAGTGCTCAAGTGGGCAACTGTTCCGCCAGCTCCCCATCGCACTGTGGGGCCAGAGCAAAAGCAGGTGAACAAGTAGTCTGCAGTATTGAATAAGAGGAGCAAGTCCTGAAAGCCTTATCAGTGAGCCACTACTAGCTGATTCCCAGTCATGCCTATGTTTGGCACAGGCCACAGACTTTCTGAGCAATGTTTCCTGGAAGGGAATGCATAAGTTCTACTCTAACATTATAAACAAATGTTCAGGTGAACAGCTCACCATTTTAGCAAATGTATCCTTTTATTTCCCTGGAAAACTACAAATCCTGTGGCTGTGAATCCTAAAAATGTTGTAGTCCCTGTTGAATCCTTAAAGGGAAAACAAACAAAACGAAACAAATTAGAAACATTTAGCAGTGAGTGTAAACATACAAAACATTCCATGTTTAGTAACATATGCAGTATCTCTTTCTGTGAAGGGCAATACGTGCGCATTTGAATTTAAGAGGGTGATCGAGAAGTTTCAGAAAGCTTTCACCTAATGGCATGAGTGGTCCTTTTGCTATTGCTTTCCTAAACACCAAATATACAGAGACATATGTATTAGTTTTGTTTAACAGCAAAATTTGATCTATACAAAACAAACCCAAAAATATACATATTGTAAGTATTATCATAGGATAGTCTTTCATCCCAAAGTGATTGTCATTTCATTATCAGTTATCAGTGCAAATATACTTTTGTGGTGGAAATACTGTATTTTTGGACACTTCATGAAAAGCCAAGCCTCAGTGGAGAAGAAAATCATGCTAGGGAAAGTCAAAGGCTGAAGAAAAGGAAGGCCAAATACGAGGTTGATTGCCTTCATAAAGAAAGTCACAACCTTGAACTTAGACGAGCTAAGTTCTGAATAGGGTTGTCATGGACAGAGCACTGTGGAAGGCTTTTATTCAAAGCGTTCCCATAAGCTGGAGACAACTTGATGGCACATAACAACAGGGGTAAGAAGGCAGGCAATTGTGATGAAGCTTCATACCTTAACAGGGGTACCATGTGTTTTGCAAAAATAATCAAGTGACTTCTCTCTTTCCTGATCACGGATTCTTATATTCAAATGATTGTTCATGCTGCAATATTACACCCTCTTGCTTGGCAGTAAGTTCCACTGAACTTAGAAGGGCTTATGTCTGAGTAGACACTTACAGAATTGCACCCTAGCTATAGTTACTGGGCCTGTTATGATATGATGCTGCATCACACATAAAATATTTACCATGGAAATATAGCCAAGGGCCTTTTCTTTCCCTAGTTCTCTGTTTGCTGAAGCTGGATTTGTTTCAGAGACCAGCTGGAGGGGAGGCATTTAAATGACATGGGAAGGGGGCATTTGCAAGACAGAACTGGTTGGTTGCACATGGCTTCAGTGAATCCCTCCAGCCCACAAAATTTAAATGTCCACCCCCACACTCACACCTGCAAATTAACACAAGGAAAGAAGCCATCTACTTTGGCCCTTAGACTGCAGCTTGGAACACCATCAATTAATAGACACATAAGCAGCATTAAGAGAGTCTATTCTGTCTGACACTATGCAATTATTGTGGAATCAACAAACCACTTAAACTAGCACTCTTACTGGCTCAGTGAGCATTGACATAAATAGATTAAGGATAAGAAAAACAATTTCTGTCCTGGATCTCTGTTTATGCCCAGTTTTGTTATATGCAGCCAATTATGCATCTTTATAGTGCCTACGCAAAATACTAGCCCGAAAAACAATATAGGAACACCTAAATTAAAATAAAATAGATCTAGGAGCAGGGGGCAAGACAAATTTCCTCACAAAGCCTTTACTGTACTGTTTTAAATATATACCCAACTCAGGCGTCCACTACAAAACAGCATTGGTTAGCATACTGGATTACATGATGTAACATATTACAATAATGGCTCTTTATTTGCTAATAAAATGGCCAAGCCCCAGGATGTTTCCCTTCCCTTCTGGCATGTGCCTTTCTGCATACAGCAACTTCCTATCAACATTCCTCCCACAGGCTTACTGCACAAGAAGTGCTGCACTCGTGGAAGGGATGCACTTGTAGGGGAGGGCCTGGATCAGATCTTAAATACAAAAAATACTAATTGTGTGTGTGTGTGAGAGAGCGAGAGAGATTGATTTTTTACCTTGCAGGGATGGGGATCAACTCCATAGGTTTCTAAAGAATGTGCTTTCAATAATAAATTAAACTCGGCAACAGCTGGATTCTGACCCCTAAAAATCACACAAAGGAAAACAGCATGTGAGAAAATGCAAACAGTTTCAGCCAAAAATATTCATTGTCAGAGGGAGAAATAAGAGATGTTGTATATGATTCTGCTGCTACTCTGCCATAGCACTTAATCCTTTTGGATTAAGTTTAGATGCTTTGGACATATTTTTGTGACTCCAGTGAGCTGTGCAGTTAATCATGGGCTATCACGTATCTTTCAAATATTTGCTATCTTTTGTGATACATGAACAGAGCAGTTGGAACTTGATAGGAAATAAGCTACAGTGTTGGTTTCCATGATCTGCTTCCTAAATTCATTTAAAATAATCACTTGGATTACAGCGCATTCCTTCCTGTTCTGGAGATTGTCAAGGATATGAATGAGAAGATTTTAGTCTTTGCTGCATTTTGACTACATGGGATTCTGTCAGCATTTTTGTGATGCATCTGAAAATCCAGTGCATATTTGTTTTTACTTATTTAAGATATTTCCATTCCCTTCCTCATTAACAAATTCCAGAGTGGTGTACAAAGTTCATTGTAGTCCATACCATGCAAATCTGCTGCTCTAGTGAACGTTTAAATCCTGCATTATTCAAGAAATAAGTATATTCGGACTGTGAGATAAACCTGCTTACTTTGCAAATGAATAAATTCTTTGTGATATTGATAGTGTGAAGACTGCCCAAGAAATTAGCCATAGTTTAGGGCGGATAAAATTGCTAGAAACTATACAGTTACCAATAAATGAAAAGGGAACCTTTCCATTGGAACCTTCCACATCTTAGGTTACATGTGTGGAACCATGACACTGGTGGCCTTCTGACCTGACTACAAAGAACAGTCTAAATTCAAGGGGCTCTGAGCCATGTTGTTAAGGTTTTCAGATTAATGAGTTAACAAATCTGTTTCTACCCTTGGGATTCCTTCTCTTCAAAATAGCTAAGTCCATGAAAATTTATTTTCAAAGGCAGCATTAATTTAGAAAAAGAAAGAAAGGACTTTGTGCCTTGGGTGCTGTGTTGAAACCGCCTCTAGATATATATGTGAAAAGTACAGATATCTCTTCTGGGTGAAAGACATGGTGTGCAAAGCTTAACCTTACTAAGGACTGGTGGAGAACAGGAAGGAGTAGGAAACAGTTTCATTAATATCCATTGTGGATTCGTCTGCATTTAGGTTCGTGCATCCAGCAAGGGATAATCATGCTGGTTGTAATTAAAGCCAAGAAAAACTGTTGAAATATTCTAATACAGGGATTCGGGAAACAGCACTTTCAGTGCCTACTCCCTAGTATCTCAGTCTAAAGAGAATCCAAGTATCAGGGCTAGGAAGACTCTGGAGAATCACTGCAATTCAGATGGCAGTAATGAATAAAGACACTAAATTCATTAGCTGTTAAGGAAGAAGTCATTTCTAAAGTGTAAAAACAATTAGCCGGCATCAATTTGGAGTCTAGCATTAGTTGCATAAGGGGTTATTTCTGACCCCAGACAAAAGCGCATCAGGCAAGGGGAATATTGCATGTGAAAGGCCTTAGTCTAAGTGAATGTACCCCAAGGAGGTATGACTCAGTATGAGAATGCTGTCAGATTTCCACTAGCAGATATAATTTTTTCTACTAGCAGATATAATTTAAGATTTCGTTTTTCCTGCAGCAATGCATAACAATAAAATCAATAAAATCTGTGTAACGATACTTGATCTGTCAGCCTTCAATCTGCATAGTAATACAAACTTAATTTAAACTACTAATTTAAACCACTACAAATTTAAACCACAAACCACAAAGCCTACAAATTTAAACCAGCATAAAAAAGCTTTCTCTCAATGGCTCTTAATTCTGTTTGCTGGAAGTTTTCGCTCCAATACTTGGCTCCCAAAACAGACTAAAATGTCCTGTAATTAAGCTCCTTTCATGCCCTTCTTTGGGAACAAAAGTACTCTACAGAATTGTTCTTATAAAAATGCTGGGACATTTTGTTACCCCAGGCATGCGCTGGTTTATAAAGAAAACTGAAAGTTGTAGATGTATTTTACTACCACCCTGAAACATAGTGAAGGGCGGGATATATAAAAACTTTTTTTAAAAAAAGCTTTAAATACTTTGATTTTGACAATATTCTGGTAGGATCAGTTACTCCAACATGCAGGATGAAGGGAGGTTGTCTTTCTGGATAAAATACAAATTTCCTACAGACTCCACTGAACTAGGCTTCTGGAGGAGCATAAAAAGAAAACCTAAAAGAGTTTCAAATATACTTAGGTATCAGAATGGAAGAGTTCTGTTTCTGATCTACTACAGACTTGCCATACTAATTGAATGGAAATCAATCAGTAAAACTTACTAGACAAACAGTGAAATCTTACACCTATTGGGCAGAAGTAAATCCCACTAGATTTAATCACACTGCTCCCTGGTAATTGCAGTGAAAAATATTTTTGTCTAATAACACATTTCAATGAGCCACTTTATTAAGGATGCAATCCTATGCATCCCTCGAAAGGGACAAGACCCTGCAATTTCCAGCATGGCTGTCTGTGGAGTGCTAAGAATTATGGGATTTCTTCTGTCTAAACCTGAATAGGATTGTATCTTAAGGCACTAATATAGGATTACCCATACAGGTCCCAGACATGGTGCCTGCAAGTAATTTGTTCACATGGACTTTCCCTGCTCTCTCTGCAGCCAAATGTACCATGCTACAGTGGGTGGAAGGATTTGGCTGACTCCTGAAGGCTGCTTGCAAACCCATTTTTACAGCTTTGTAGAATACAGAGTTGAAATAAGGAATTTACTGCCACAGAAGTGATGATGGCCACCAATTTAGGTGGCTTTAAAAGGAGGCTGGAGGAGGCAATCAGTGGCTACTAGTCTTGCTGTCCATTATGGGAGGCCACATGCATACACCAGCTGTTGAGGAGCAGTGGTGGGTAGAGGTCTTGTAGTCATCCTTCTAGAGGGATCCTTGGACTAGCTGGTTTGCCACTACGTGAATGCAGAGCTGGACTGGATGGACCATTGCTTTGAACCAGCATGTCTGTTCTTATATTCTAACTTTTCACCACTGTTTTCTCATACCAAAGAAATTCACAGCTCTGACAGGGCGAGATGTCTTTGCCTCACTTGCAAGTAAGAAGACATGATTTTACTGCACTGTAAAGTACCTGTGTCAGAGTGGAAACTAATGCCATTTTCCTCCCCTGCATACCAACCTGATGCAAGCTGCCAAATACACATGGCTAGTCAGTGAATAGACCTGCCAGCTACATGGACCAACTTACACAGTAAATAAGCAGGGAAGAAAAACTTGATACAGTAGGTGAAACAAGGTGTCCCAGCAAAGACACAGTTACAAACAGTCACCAAAAATCCCTTAGTCACTAGAAAACCATTATGTAATGTGAAGGGGGGCAGAAATTTATCAGCAGAAGTTATTGTTAGGCCAGACATCAACCTAATCCCAATTCAAACTTTTCAAAACTTATTCAACAAGAAGGCTTTCCCTGCTCTCTGGACGAGTCTAAAGAATTCAGTCCAAAAGCTATTTAATATCCTACTTGCTTATAGCTCCACTGAGAGGTCAGCAGCTGAGCAGGAGTCTTATTAGTGTGAGGGAGGAAATACTGTACAGTGTTTGCTGACGCGGAAGGCTTGGAATCTGGGACAGCTGTTGGTCTCACACATGCATTAAAAGGAAATGTAGAAGTTGCAAGGATCAGAGTAGAGAACTGGAATGAAAAGTGGACTCAAAAGTGGGTACATGGAATGCAGAGACATGGCAGCAGCTAATATGAACTGCTTCAAATAGTACACCTTCACATTAAATTCATCTTGGCAAAGTATGAACTTCACAGAGATCTTTCTTTGAAGAGGAATAAGCAGCATTTCAACAAGCTAAAATTACAGCACTTTCAAATGATTCAAATAAAAAAGGTGTCACTTTACCATCTGTACTACAGAACTCCTTCAAAAGAGAGATTGATTTTTCATAACCTGAGTTAGTTACAAACTGGGAAGTTCTATCTCTGTAAAAAGACATAGGAGACTTAACTTTGCTATTTTTCAAAACTTAATCACAACTTAATACAGAGAATACAGCAAGAACTTAGAAACAAAGACTCTTGCAGACTTGTTATCGCCATGTTAAAATGCCAACATGATCATATATTTTCTTAAGTGGAACAATACCACAATAACATATTATAAATCAATAAATAGATTAGAGTCACCCCCAATAATTTACAACTTATGTATTTAATACCCAATTGAAAAGGTTTCTGTGAGTGACTGAAGTTTCAATATGCAAACAGAAAATAAAGTAAGAGTTTCCAAAGAAATTACTGCACACTGTGTGTGACCTAACATTGAAGTGCACTGTGTAAAGTGTGAAGTTCTGTCTGCTCCTGCATCTGTGATGGCCCATTCGCACATGCAAGCCACCCATCCCCAAGTCAACTCCTACTAATAAAACTGGAAGGCTCCACTACATGACTACTACAACCCCGCATGAAGAATCTAAGAAACAAATCCAGCTAGACCAAGTATGAGTGGATGGATGTGTTTGTCTTTCCAGTGTTGTGTGTTTCATATGAGAGTTTGCTTCCTACACTGTTGCCTGTTATTTCAATTCACTATTTCCTTATCAATTCATGCATGTGAAATAGAGCTTATAAACAGAGAACATATTTTGCCCTATTTTCCTCTGCATCCCCTGGCAAATTGTTTTTCCAGATGTGCCAGAGTCTGCCACAGCAGCTTTCCATGTTTATTGGTCTACACAGAAATTTAGCATGATTAGAATTTAAATACTTGTTCAATCAGAACAAGTAGAACTGAATGAAACATCAAGTCATATTCCATGCTTCAATCTCAATTTGCAACACTTGCCTGCCAACATCTGTTTCCTGACTTCCTCTTTTCCCTCTATCATGAGTATGGCACGTTTCTTGTAAGTTGCCATGATGGCATGAAAACCAGGAAGGCTGCATGTCTGCTAAGACCTTCACTTATCATACAAAATGTTTTAAATCAGAGTACTACTCCATTACTCTTCACTAAGGTGAAGCAAGACCACTGATGTAGAGCTTACGAGAACTGTTTAAGCATTCCGCTAAAGCTGCTGAGTGTCTTCTTTCACCCTCTTTTTAAAAATTTAAAGTCATGTTCAGAAAAAAGTTGATCAAAAAGGTTACATTTCCATAAAAAATTGATAGTATTTTCACCACCCCACTAAAGACAGCAGATGACAGGGACACCATACCATTCATTTGTGCTAGTTAGTCTAAACAGGCCTTCTCAATAAGGCAAAATGAGCCATCCAACCATTGGACCTGTCACAATGTGCTGTTGGCTACATCCCAGACCTTTGCTCCATTGTTCGCAATAGTACTGGCAAAGAACACAATTAAAAATGAATTCAGCTAATAGGACTTTAAAAAAATTGATCAGAAGGGGTCTAACATGGCAGGCATGGAATGTATAGGATGAATGGATACAGTTGTCTGACCTGAAGCAACAGCTGCCAGCTTACCCAGGGAGCCAGGGTGCCAGGGCTGCAGCAGACAACATCTGCAGTGGCTGCTGCTGGACCATGAAGCATGGCAGCAACCTACTGTCACCCGTTCCCTGGAGCCATTCACCTGACTCTCAAAGAGAGGGTCTGTCATCAGAACATCCTTAGTTTTTCAAACACTTCTTTCCACTTGAGCAGTTTTACCCTGAAGTAGTACCTGGAGAGGATGACTTGGAAGTCACCTTATTCAACTCCAACCTTGCTTCAGAAAATCCAAAGTTTCTTGCCTATCCATTGAATATCACTGGGAAGTCAACAGATGGCTATAATAGTTTGGCGGTTTTAACAGAATTAGATGAATTCTGCAGACACTGCTGCCCCATTCTGTGAACAAAAATATGAGCCCTAGCAAAATTATTCCCTAGCTGCAAGCTAAAGCTCTTAGTGAGTAGTTCTGATAGAGCAGCTGGGTTGCACACAGAAGGTCTGATCTGTGGCTTCACCAGGTAGAGCAAGGAAAAAGTCCCTCCTGAAAACTTGGAGGGCTGCTGACAATCAGTATTAACAATCCTGGGCTGGATGGACCAAGGCTCTGGCTCTCTCTAAGACAGCTTTGCATGTTCTTACTTTCCCTCTTCCACTTCCTCCACCCTCATGTTTTCTTGGTATGGAGAGTTTGGGGGGGAATTAATCCAGTGTTGCAAGTATGCTGCCTGTCTCTCTGTGTCTGTTGGATCTCCAGAGTTTCAGGAGGACCCAGATTAAGTTCAGGGCAACTCAGAAGACCCACTGGAAGAATCCTTTATCTGACTGAGTGGTCAATTTGATTCAAGAATTTATTTGAATCTGATGCATGACTCAAGTCATTATGTAAATCTCTTCAGTACAATCTAAGTTATCTTTCAGTCCTCCTAGCATATAAAGTGCACAAATTAACAACAGAAATATGTGCTGGATGCTTGTCTCTACTACCTTTAAGCAGGCTTCCTCTGTTATGAGCACAATTTATCACGACCTGACTAAATTCCTGCCATGCTCTAGGTCAATTAATTCATTTGTCAACACAACAGCTAAATAAAAATCTGTGTTTTTGAAACAATATTCCATTGCAGAGTTTCGCCTACTGCATAATAATATGTTACTTTTGATATTTCAGTAGTTCATGATACCTGAAGAGGGCATACTTTGCCCTAAGCAGTATTTTTATCTCCAAAGACAACAGAAAGATATTTGCCACCTTTATTCTAGGCTCAGTTTTATTAACTGTCAAGTTAAGAGTCAAGTCAAAGTGGGGAATGTTCTGCATATAAACTACTACATGAAAGACATGAAATGTGATTTCTGTCTCTCATATACATTACATGGAGAAAGGGACAAAGAGAGAATGAATTACATTCAAAGAAACAGGCTCCTGCCAGGGAAATAATGAAGCCATAAGAAACCAATCTTGGAGGTTTCACAGAAGAAAACTAACTAATTTTGTTTTTCATCAAGAAAAAGTAAAAATTACTACCAAGAAGTATAGAAATTCTAAAATAGGTCAGTCTAAGTGTTGTGATTACATGTGGCCCCCTTTCTTGTGCCTTCTATGCTTGTACAAGCTGAGAAAAGAAATGCTTTCTTATCGTCTATTATTGTTCTATAAACCATAACAATGGGTGTAGGGAACCTATGGGTTCTATCTAATACTGCCACTCCACTGAAAGAAGCAGTTCTATCAGGGGAAACGGGAGGGGGTAATCCCCCCCACCCCACATCCATGCACCCTGTTCAAAATCTGCACTGGAAGCCTGGAAAGCCTTCCGAAACAGATTGTCAGGCTGCAGTGAAGATGAGAGATGGAAGAAGTCCTGTTGCACTAGCAGACTTCTAGAGTATGAAACTGGATTTAATCTTTGATGCACACATACGTTTGTGTTAGATTGTGGCTATAATGCAGTGTCAGCTCAATAAATGACTTGCTTTTGGATAATAATATATGTTGCACATCTTCTGACTTTTAAAGTTTTGTACAGAATTTTACTCTACTGACCCTTTAAATATATAGGCTCATAGTTTGAAAACAGAACCTCCTCCAGAAAAAAGCACTAACAAACAATAGTTACATCTTTTAAGCAGTATTCTAAATTACCTGAATTCGTTTTTATGTATTTCAGCTATTTTTCTTTCAAGCTTTTGTGACTGTTTGGGGAAAATCTTAAAGTTACTGACATAATTGTCCACATATTCATCAGGATCGTAGTCTCCAAGTTCAGCTGTACAGGCAAAGATATAAAGAGTGAGGAGAAGAAACAAATGCACAGTCACTTAAAGAAGCAATTAATTTAATTTAATTATTAAATTAAATTGCTAGTCACCAAAAATAAACTGTAGGTTAATTTGTACTGATGAATTTATAAATGGGCTTCTGTACATAATCTTAAAGTTCTGGTGCTTACCTTTAAAGCCACATACAGTTTGGAATGTGGGTACCTGAAATATCACTCCAGAACATGTTTGTACTTTAAGGTCATCTACACAAGTTCATCTCCAGGGGCCCCTGCTTTTGGAGGTTAAGAAGGGGGCCACCAGCGAGGGCCTTACCATTTATGGTGCTACACTTTGGGGGAGGGTCATCTGGTGTTAATGATCATGTCTTCTCAGCACCAACATTTTTTTATATCCCTGGGCCTTTCAAAACAGTGTCCACAATGATGTGTTTTAATTGTTCTCCTGGGTTTTACTTATTTATTACTTGGTATAATTGTCATGATTACATTTATGTTTTGTTATCCATCCTAAAAACACCAGTTCTGAAGGGCAGAGTTTATATTTTCGGAATTAATAACCAAATTAGCATAATTTGCCATATTTGGTAGCCAATCACAGAGTTGAAAAAGAAAGCAATCTGATTCTACTTATCATTACATAAAGGGCCCAAATCAGCCTAGTTATCAATCACCTTTAACAGGAGTTCTTTTGTTGAATTTATTTAAATATATTTTTGCTTTTCAGTTTTATTAAAAACCCTCATGGTGGATTCCAATTTAAAATAAGCCATGACTGTGTTCATACAACCATGTCTTGCCTTAGTAAGCTGAGATATGAATTAGCCTTTTGTCTACACATGCAGTTGTTGTTGTTTTTGTTTCGCCCTTCACACACATGGAATAAGTTATAGCTTGAGGTTGGCTAATATCTAGGCTTGTCCCAAAGCTGTGTTAAACCAAAGCTTTTTGATGACATTCAACAGGAAACTCTGGTTAATGGAAGACTTCCTGGCTGTTTTATTCACTCACATGGAGGGAAAAGTGAAGGGGGTGCAAATACAGTCAAAAGGCATGCTCATATCTTGGCTTCATTTAAACCTTCCCTCTATAAATATCATTAACACAGAAGCACGTCCAACTTATGAAATACCAGATCTATAAGTCACACATAAAACAGTATAGCTATCATAAAGCTAACAAGGTATTAAAGTTCATACACAGCTGTTCCTTACCGAGGAAGCATTAAAAGGGCAGAAGCATTCACCTTACCAACTGGGTTACTCCCATGCAAAGAGAGGCAGAAGCCCTGTTGACAAGATATATCCAGACAATGAATATGTGTAGGGGGTCCAGGCTTGTGCTTGCAGCCTCCACACATTCAATGGAAATGGTGAACAGAACCTACATGCAGGAGTGATTCTGTTCCTGAACAGGCCCAGAGCTAGAGCCTGCACTTCTACCAAATTACATTTGGCTTGGATCCAAACTAAGTTAATGATGTTTCTGTCCCACTGAAATTAGGCGAATTTAATCATGTAACTAACTTAGCCTGGATGTGATCCAATTCATTTTGTAAAACATGCACGACGCTTTTGATATTACAGAGAATATTTCCAGCCAAGATCCTGCAAGAAACTCCCACTGCGCTGTTCATTTGACTTACCTTGGACGATGCATGCACCCAAGTAGGCAGCATCAGAAAATGCACACAGCAAACGGCCATGGAAAATATCTCTTTTGATTTGTAGATATAAAAGGTACCTGCATTTTATAGGAAAAATACTTGTATATTTCTTTATTTTCATTTAATCTCTTTAGATCACTCTAGATAATGCAAGGTCTCTATTGAAACATTGTAGAAAATAAAATTTACAATGCAATCCTTATTCACAAGTAACTTTCAGCAGGGCCTACTCCTAGGTGAGAGGGAACAGGACTGTAATCTTAGTCTTATACATTCAGACTGCTAGCAAGAACACAGATACTTATTATTTCCTCTCCACTTATCAATCCATGTTCCAGTTTAAAATAAACCCTAAATATAACACAAAGGTTAGGATTCAGTTTTGTCATTCTGTATGTGATATCGATACTGCTGGAAGACAGGACTTCTCTCTGCAGCCCCTGCTCTCCACCCACAAATCTGCTTGGGAGCAGCAAAGCTGGATCCAAGACTGCTAATATTAGGTTCAAATACAGCTGAGTTGTAATATCCAACATGTACCACTTTTAGTACATATGTGCCATGAAAGGATTCACTATGTTATTGGCACTGACAGAGGATCTCCAGGAATAAATGCATTCTTTTCCCATGCGTGCACACAGTATTCCTCTTCTAGTAATTTTCCTAGACATTTAAAATAGAAGTTTGCCATGCAATTCATGTCAAAATGCATACAACGCACTTTGTGCCTAAGATTAAGACTGACATGTAATCAACCAACATACTTTTAATACCAACAACAGCTGTAGGACACTTAATTCTTGGAGGGTCAATTTTTCGCTTTCTTGACATTTCCTGCTCAGAATTACTTCCCTGATTATCTTTCCCCTCCCATTAGAGGAAAAAGATACTGGCACCTGCATCCTCTCTAGGTACAAACAAGAGCTTGAGGAGCAGATGCTTTGAGAAGTAACTGTAACAGAACAACCAACAGAACAACCATGGGTGAGACCTGCAGCCCCGAACTGCTTGGCAAGAGTGCAGAATTCCATTTCTGCTCCTTCCAAAGGACGGTGGTGACTGCCACTGCCAGCTGTACACAAAGTGCCCAAACTGTGCTTTGGAACAGCTGGCAGAGGCTGCCCACCTCCACACTGCTATTGCCAACTAATTTCAAGGGAGAGTTTCACCCTTCCCCAAGCCCACAGAGGGGAGGAATAAAATGGCAAAGTTGCTGTTAGATATCCTTGCAGACTGTCCAGAGTTGACCTGACAAGCTGCTAGCAAAGATGGCAGAGATCTACTCCTTGTGCCACATTGACAAAGAAGAGGGGACATATTTGCCAGCAGCTGGAGAAGTCTACTGTTGAACTAACAGCAAGGATGGACAAAACAGCCCCTTTCCTGGCTAAAGATCCCTTGTGTCTTTGCTTTCAACAGGTAGAAGCCTAGGCAATGTTCAGAGGCTCTGCCCTCCCACACAAAGCTCATGGAAAGCCTGCTGTATGGGCTGAGACATGGGCAGTGGCTGGACAGGCAGAACGCCAGGACCAGGGTGCTGGTGTGGGACCAGATCCTGCAGCTTAGTAGGGCTAGAGGCTGGTGGCATGGTCAGCAGTCCAGGGTCAAGGCTGAGGCAGCAGGCACTCCAATATTACACAGACGAGAGAGGGAGCATGGTCCTGGAACACTCCAGTGGTTTGATGCCAGGGAAAGAGTCGTGCAAGGGTGTTCCAGACAAGGGACTAAACAGAGCAAGGCAGGAGCAGACTGGAGTAATGCAGGAATGAGGTACAAGGCATGGTGATGCAAAGGCCAGAGCACAAGAGAGTCCTGAAGACTACCTGCATTGCTCTGGCAAAGAACAGCAGTGCCAGAAAGGCTTTTATGCTGGTCTTCAGGATCTCCAGCCACACTGCATAACTGCTCCTCAATTGTTCCCTGCAAGAGCCTGCAAGGGTGCTCCTGGTTCTGCAGGCACTTGCAGGGTCACTCAGGCCTTGATCCTGACACCTACTAGCAAGAGTCTTCACTTATGGTGTTCTTTCCTTTTGTCCTCTATGAGGGAGGAACTCTTGCTCTTTGTCCTGATCTTCTGGAACTTTGGAAAGGGCAAAAGTGCATCCTACCCCTTTTTAAAAGGGAAGTAGAGTAGTCTCTTTAGAGACATGACATGAAATGTAAAGGGGCATCTGCACAAAACTAGTCTGCAGTTGCAGCTGTCAGAAGGAGGACACCATGCTTCCCCACAGTATTCCCTGGAATAACCACCTGAAGAGGGAAGAGAGAGACTGAGAGAGAGAGAGGAGTTAAGAGAAACACCCATAATGAGCCTGATGATCCATTTGAGTCACTATAGGTACTCTGCAAAACTGGGCAACATGCCATGGTGAAACCCACAGAGGGCTGTTGTTAAGGCCAGACAAGGTCATAGCAAAGTGCTTTTGAAATGGAGCAAATTGCAAATCAGATAGGATCAGGTTAGAAGGATATACATCCCAAATCCCACTTGTATATGCAAGTCACTTTGGACCCTAGCCCTTATCCAGAAATTACATCAGAGTTCAAAGGTCTTTTTGGTGTGGTACAGTTCTGAAGGTTACCACTGTTGTGCTCCATTTGTAATTGCTGTTTTAGTGGCATCTTAATGTAATATTTGGTCAGACACAGTTCATTACATTTCTTCCAGAAATTCACATTGCTTGAGTATTGGTGGTTCTCAAGAGAGAAAATTTGTTCCATCCAGTGAACTGATTCAAAAATCCTTAATCCACAATGACAATCTGTAAAAAGAGTCTGCAATATAATCACTTTGAAGCACAGCACCAGCCTCTAAATCCAGGAACTTTTAATAACAGTTTCTAGCTGTGCAAATCAGTTTGTGCTACCTTGGGAATGACTCGAAGCTCAAGAGCAAACCTAAGAAACTGTGTTTATGTTCTGGTGAACGCTGATACAAATACCGTGGAGACACATTTAATGCTTCCATCTTAGAACCTGTTATACACTTCAGTTTTCAAAAAAATAGACACACTGGATGTCCTCTCACCATACATTGTTCAAGGGCTGAATTAAAGGATCAAGTGTGAGATAACACTTTTTATTTTATTTTTTTACAAAGGATAAGTAGAGGTGACATACATTATTTTGTTGACTTGCTTCTGACTAAGAAAAGTAGGCCTCCAAAACCACATTCCTTTTGAATACAGTCTGTACACAGTTGGAACTAGAAGTATGGATTAAAGGATGGGGGGGGGGCAACCTATGCTAAAGCAAAGTTTCCACTCCTATATCACATCCATGGATGTGTGTGTGTGTGTGTGTGTGTGTGTGTGTAGGCAGACATCCTCTTCATTTCACAGACTCCCTCCCATCTGGAAATTCCCACAATTCAAAACATACGCCCATCCAGATCCTAATGTTACATATAACATAACAGGTTACTTGCTCATTAACTGATTTGTTTGTTTGCTTTTGTACTCTGGAATTTTCACGAATTCCAAAAATGTCAGCTTGAAAAAAGCCTCAGAAATCATGTTAGGCAAAAGGGGGAAAGATATTCTGACTGACTCAGTTTTATTATTAACCCAATTCTTTCAACCCCTCCCCCGTCGCCCCAACAAAAAAGAAAAAAACCACCTTAGGCTGCAATCCTAAATGCTCTTACTAGAAAGTAAGCTCCAATGAACATAATTAGCTAACTTCTGAGTAAACATGAATAGGATGGTGCTGTTAGTCATCTAGAACAATATATTAGAAAAGAGCAGTTCTTCACATATTCATATGATCTTTAAAGCAAAGTCAGATAAAGATTTTTCTGAATTTGGTTCCTGAGTAAAAAAAAGGCTATAAAATGTCAATGCATCCTTTGTGAACATATGCATAGTATCATATATGAATGACACCCATTTCTAGATTTTGTACAGTTGTTCATGTATAATTAGCAAGCAAAAGACATCATTTGCCTTGTCGGGGTGCATGTGTACTCCAGTAATAACTTCCAAGTACAAAATACAGCGTATTAAGCAGACCCCCAGGTGGCAACCAATTCTTATCTGATCTTAACTCTCCAAGCACCCCAACTCCACTCTAGATTTGCCTGATCATAATTAAAAATCATAGCGCTTTATTTTTATCTCACTGCATTGTATTATGAAGGTAACGGATTCAAAATTTGCTTTGCCAACACACATGTCAGCTTGTTACCATTTGGATGTTAACTGGAAAATTAAGTTAACAATTTCCATATGAAAAGCACTTTGAATCATAGATACAGGAGAACAGTTCTGTGCAACATTTTGCACTCTTTAAATCCCACTATCAATGCTGCATGCAATTTACAGAGCTAAAGATAAAACAGAAATATAACATTCATGCTTCTGATAAAAATATTTGACTTTGCAGTCACTTCCCCCCAAATGTTTAACTCGATTATACAATACTCTGAAAGATCTTTACCACCCACAGAGAAAAATGCTTAATTGGCACTGTCAACAAACAGTGAATTGCTATGCATAGTGTGCTGTCAAAATAAATAAACATGTTTCTGACAAAGCTTCTCTCTAGGAATGTCAAGGAAATATATTTTCATACAGAAGCGATTTGAAATAATGGTACCCTTGACAAAAATAATTTATAATGCCTCCAGTGAAAACAGAATGCTGAGTTGTTTCCTAAACAAAAATAAACTTCCACATTTCCATTTATGAAAAATACTAACAACCAGAAATAAGCAACCCAGTAACCAGTTGCAATAGGTAAAATCTAAAAATATTAAGCAATATGAAATCTCAGAAAAAATCTAACTGGGAAGATATATTACTTGAAGGAGTTGGGAAAGAGTTTACATAGATAGATACATAGTTTTTGGCTTGTTGGAGCCCATAATAGCAGCTGTAACTACAACTTGGTGAAAAAAGACAAGATGCCACTTACAGTCCTCACCATTTTAAAATGAATTAATAGAAGGGCCCATAGCAACAAACAAACAAAGAAAAGGGGTGTCATTTAATGGCAGGAGCTTCCATTCATCAAGCACTTTTAGATATATGAGTATGCTGATGACAAGCAAGATCGTGTTCACTGTCCCTTTTTTCCGCTCTCATGTTTTCATTCTTCCTTTGTGAACAGAGCTTATGCGCAATAGGAATGTGCATTCATTTAATCTGGAAAAAGTAAATATGAAAATTCCCCATTGTTGGAAAGAGAGCTATCAACTCTGTATTTAATAATTATAAATAAATAATAAACATGAATTAAAGTTAATCCAAATTCATTCCAAATTAAAGTTGCATTATTTCAGATTTCTCCTTCATGTATAATTTCACTCAAAACCTTTTGGTAGAATGTAATAGTTTGCAATGCATTACGTTGGGGGGGAGTTGAAAAATATTTAACAATGGATGGGTTTACATGGCAAGGCAAACAACCCTGCACAGTTTCTATGGTGTGTGGATTTTTGCCTGATTTTCCTGATCAGATGAGCATGAGGTTGCCTCGATAGCAAAGTTTATGTTATCCTCACTCCGTTGCTCCAGCCTCATAACACATCCCAACAGCTCCTAAAAACAAACTTCCCGTCCTTTACCCCTCTTTGCCTATGGACCACAGCAGCTTCTTTCTGATTGGCCACTTGAGCTCCTAAGGCAGGATCCTCCTCCCATGTGTACCTGGATATCTGCAGCACTTCCTAGCTCCTCAGCCTGAAAAACTGCAGGAAGTGCCCTTGAAGAAGCTTCAAAGGGTTCTGCCCCCACTTTCCTCTGTCCCCTGCATCATCTCCTCATCAGAATCTGGAAAGTCAGCAAAGAGATACTGCCCTGCCCCCGTTTCCATGCCAGCAATGGTAGAATGTCAATTTCAGGTCCAGACAACTGAAGAAGCTATGGTGAAATGGATTCTATCCAGGGTTTTAGGTAACTAATCCTACCACACAGAAACTATGGACCCGTGGAGCTGGGTCCAGCTGACAAAACAAACCCACAATGGTAACAATTCACCATGGCTTCTTGTGTCCTGTGAACCTGCCCAATGAGTTCACATGATGCCCAATGGGCAGGTTCACACATCACAACAAACAATCATGAATGGTCACCGTGATGGTTCTGACATCCAATCATTATTATTTTCTCCCAGCATTGGCTTTCTTCCAGCAAGTCCTACCTCCCCTCCTGACATGCATCTCAGGGGCCATCACTCCCTCTTCATATAGGCAACCAGTTCATAATTGTCATGCTGAGTGCTCCTCTTCCCTCCTCCTGCAGGAATCTTTAAACCTTTCTCTGCTTTGGGATTTGTGTGTTGCTAGCAGGCACCGGGACGAGAGATCAGATGACTCAAGTGGCTGCCTGTTTTGCCATTCATGTCAAGTGACTCTATAGTTTTTATAAAAAGGTACCCCTAGTTCAGATGTCACAAGAAACAATCATGTTAGGGTCAACCCTAACCCTAACCCTAGACCAGATCATTACATAATGACAATCGAACAATCAATGGTTGCTTGTGCCATGCAAGCCTAGTCAAAATGTGAAAAGTTCAGTTTGGGCAGGACACTAAGGTCACTCTAAAAACAACCAGCTAGTTCTCTAGTGTACAGGAAGAATGTATTGCTAATTCATACCCTAAAATCGCCCATGATCTGAATAGTGTTCTTCCATATCATACCACCACCAGCTTGTCCCTAAAACACTTACTAGATGAAGAGGGCTTGGTGTTTCTCTGAACATAATTCAATGGGAACTTTTTTCTTTGCCTATAAGATTGGCATGCTGTCTCTGATCTTTTCAAAACACATCAGTCTGATAGTCAGAGGAACTACTACAATCCCTGGCATGAAATTGGCATGCCATGTAGGCACAGAACTTCAAAGTTATACACCCATGTCAATTCAAAGAACAGTTCAAAAGAAGATAGACTAATTAACTCACTGAACTTTTGACCAGGATTTCATGTTCAGGAAAATTTAAAAGGCATTATTTTTTCCCTTGTCAATGACATGGGTACATTTTGTCTGAGCTTTCTGAAACTTGGCAAGCATGATGACCTTGTGGGATGATGTAAGATCTGCTATTTTCAAGGTACTTTATGTTGTATATTTTGATGATGATGATAATGATGGCCAAATGAAGAGTAAGTATCTCACTGAAAAGAATGATTTCTAGAAGAAGGAGCTGAAATCTGATAACAAAATGAACTGATTCTAAACTAAATAGAAAAGAAAGGCTTTTCAAGAATTTACACACACTGACAATAATGAAAAAAGGGGGGAAACATGACCCTTCCTTAATGCAGATATAACTTGTATGAATGTAGGCTCCTTGAACTGCACCTGGGACCCTGCTAGGTCCTCAGTTGTGCTAAAAGATGCTAAATAGGCTTATGGGCAATGCAGACTCTGTTCACAAAAGAAAAATGAATGTGTGGAGGCTGGAGGAAAGATGCCATTTTCCCTAACTCCTGGAATTGAGAAAAGGGCTTATCTTTCACTTGCGTAAAGAAGGTTAATATTTCATAGATGGAGACCCTCAAGTGCAACAGTGCATCTACTTAGAACCTACCTGATAACACACTCTTTATCTAAAAGGCAGTTTTCTCATGGGTCTTTGTGTCTTGCTGTTCACATCAGCTACTCTGAAGGATTGGTGACTCACCCAAAGTTTCTCATAATTCTGTTTAGAAAGAATTTGCCTATGATCTGTGAACACTTCGGTAAATTTAACAGCCAACCTTTTGCGGAGTATTACAGCACATCATTATTCTAATGTCTTTTTAAGCTGAAGCATGGAGTTTTGCTGACTTCAGTTTAAGGTGCTGGTGGTGACCATTAAAACCTGTAAGCAATTTGCACCCAGATTAACTGAAAGACTGCACGAAGAATATAAATCTACCTGGGTTTGAAGACTACCTTCAGAAACCTCACTCCAGACGCCTACCATCAAGATCTACACATTGATGGGCATTCAGAGACAGGGCCTTTTCAGTGGTAAGCTCCTATCTGTGGAACTACCCTCTTGGGAGGTGTTATGGTTTTTACTAGTTTCTATTTTAAGATCTTTTTAACAACACACTATGGGTAGTGTTCTGTATCATTTCAACTACCGTTTTGATGTTTTCAGCTGTGATCATGATTTTCCTTGGTATATGAACAGTCTTGTCATACTGCTTTTATATGCTATCATGATCCAGCTGTCGCAGGGGGGGTTACCTGGTTAACTGCCATACACGTGGTGAAATAAGTAAACACCCAAATAAATAAATCTGCATTTTTACTGGGTGATTCTTGTCTTTGTTTCTATTGTTAGCTGTGGTTTAATTATTATATTATGATCTTTTTTTTTTTTTACTTTTTGATGACATTAGTGCCTTGGAGGTTGTTTTAGGAAGTCCAGTCCTAACAATGTTTACACCAAGGTAAGCTCCTTGATTTTAATGCTGAGCCCTATGCACATTTTCATGAAGCCTGCCAGTTACAGTAGTACTTATATCTAAGTAAGCATGCCTCAGATTAGCTTGCAAGCATGCCAAGAGCAGCAGGTCACAAGGAGACTACTGTGCTAAAGAAAAAAGGGGGAGCAGAGGGGAGCACTCTAGGCACCAAGGCACCTAGTTTCACAATACTTTTTCTTCCAAAAGCTGAACATGGGAACCTTAATGCAAGCATCTCTCAGCATTCACTGATGGGTTTCTTTAAGTTCCCAAAGCTTTTTCTAAAATCCACAGAAAATGCATGTAAAATTAAAGTAAGCAAAAATGGGAAGTCTAGCACGGCATGCATGGTGGTACAGTTATCTGTGATCCTGAGACAGCACCTAAATGCACAGGCAGAAATATCTGTATATATACCTGGTAAGCTCTTCTTTAATCTTCAGGGGTTCGTGTGGGTAGAATTTCACTCTAAAGCACATGGTATATGGTGGATGAGCTGAAACATCACAAAAAAAAGCATGTGAAAAGCAATATAAAACATGGCTTCTTCTGCACTGAAGGAAAGATTTCCAACAGTATTTCAAACTAACCAGGGTGACGCAGTGCACCAAATCAAACATAAATCAACAAACATAAAGCAGAGATAATGTATGATAAGAAATCTCAAAGCATAAGCAAGATAATAGCATAAATTTGTACCATGAAAGGATTTTGTTTTGGTTTTTTTACAGCAATCTCACATCATCCTCATCCTCATAAATCCTTCTAATTGTTGTGTGCAACTGCCTTGGACCAGGTCCATCAGGTGACTACAAGGTCCCAGATGTAGGCTAGGTGGTTTCCAAAGACAGTATCCAATGATGTGTCATCAGCAGCGTTAATGACACTGTGGTAACACAACACTAGCACAATGACATTAGCAATTCCTTAAGCAAAGCAGAAAAGTAGCACTTTGCCACCAAATTTCAGCAGCACAATTTGCCACTGAATATTGCTGGCAAATCACTGCTTTTTCCCTTGCCTAGCAAGTGGGGATGACAGTGTGCTAGCAATGCTTGCTCTAGCAATGCGTCAGCATTAGAACCTGCAGTCAAGAGCTGGAGCCAGGAGAAATGCAGGAGGCAGAAGGGTCTTTCTTGTGCAGGCAAAGACAACTTATTACCTATATTGACCTTGTCAGTGTGGGCAACACTGAGTTATTAAACACTTTGCGCTGATAAAGGCTAAACTTCCACTTTGCTTCTTGAAAGAGTTCATACAGTGACTGTGCACCATGGAAATTGATTTACTGTATTTATAGACTAATACCATTTTGCCAGTACAAAAGTTATGTAATATAAAGGATTGTTTGTATCATTTATTAATGTGTTTTCCTTTGTGGCTATTTTGCTAGAAAATGCAATTAGTGATTGATTGGAAAATAAAAGAAACTCTTTCAAGTGACAATAAAAACACTATTTTCCCTTTATTTATAATGCAATCCTATCCATGTCAACTCAGAAGCAAGTTTCAAGGTATTCAGTGGGATTCGTTCCCTACCAAGTTCTACCTTAAACTTGTTAATAAAGCCTTAAGGACCGCAGCCTTAAAATTCTTGCGGCACCATGTTCAATAACTGTTCCTAGGCTCTACTGCATTCACTGATGTGGCTGACATGCAGCTTCTTGTTCCTAAGAAGTTAAAAGGTCTCCCAGCTGCAATCCTATGTATGCTTTCCAAAGACTAAGCCCCACTGAACACAGTGATACCAACTTCAGAATAAACATACACAAGATTGTGCTATTAGTGAAATACCATCTATCAAGCAAAATGCTACCCTAACAGTGATGAAACAGCACTAAGACTCTTCTTACTGGGACAAAGCCTACTGTTTTGTTCACTCATTATGTTTTATGGTTTTTCATTTCGCAAAGAAACTGGTGAGGATCGCACTGATGAGGATGCCAATAAAGACAGCTGAACAGTGGTCAGTTATAAGCATCATTTAAAAACTGTTAAGACAGTTTCTGCAAAAGCACATTTTTTTTTCTTTTTTAGACCAAGGTAGTATTTTGAGAAGCTCATATTCGTATTTTGAGAAGCTGGCTTACTGTTATGAGAAAAAAATAATGGAAAAATAGTAAAAATAACACTCTGAGATGAATGCAGAAGAGAAGAAAAATAAAAAAGATAACAAGGGGTAGCTAGCTGCAATCAGAGAAAACAGAATGAGTGAAACAAGTGGTTAAAAAAGAACAATGCAATGGTCTTTCATGCAAACCTGTGCATTTCCATTCAGAAGTAAGCGCTTCTGGGCTCAAGGAAGCTTACTTACAGGTAAGGGACTATAGGATTGCAGGTTTCTTCTACTCACAGTGTAGTGAAGATTTTGACTTTCAACATCCATTTATTGGATACAAATAAAAGACTGAATGTTTTGGATCACTAAGTTCCTTGACTTTGGCAAAGGATACCTGAGGCTTTGAATATTAATGCTAATTGATCTTCAGCTAGTCTGTTGAAGTGTATGCAAAAGCTCCTAGGAACTGAAATGGTTTTAAGAGCCAGTTCCAACTTGTCAATGAAAAAACCACTATCTGCCAAGGATGATTATGCTTCCGTTGTAAGCACAAGCCACTGTACTTTTGGAATAATATGGGGTAAATTGTGTCAGCATTTTAGGAATAAGTATCCGTTCCTATCCATTCCATGCATTGTCTGGAATCTGTAAGCGGATTCAAATAAACTATTTCAAATGTTTAGGGTCTTGGGCAAAGACAAACCTTTCAACACTTTCCTGATGAAAATAGGCCTTTCTTGTATACTATTAACACTTCTATTCTCACAGTGAAGATTTGTTCCCAAAGATACAAACACTTCCTTTCTCTTCACTGAAGGCTCTTTTCCACCTGACCTATGCTAAATTGGCTACAATAGGTAACTGAGAAAAATATAATAATTTGTAATGGAACCTTTAGGCAGCAGTTCCATAGTCCCCAAGAGCACACCTCAGGAGTGTAACAGAAAACCTCTATCCAGAGAGGGGCAGGTCCATGCATAGATGGAGACAGTCCCCCTTCAGAAGCTCAAGTGGTGCAGCAGCTGGAAAGTTTGCCACCACGACCCTTTTGTTGTTAGAATTTCGCTTTGAGATTCCAAATTTGGATCTGTAGGATCCAAAGTCCTCCCAATTTGTGAATACACCTACCAACTGTGAGGGAGGTAAAAGGTTTTAAATTTTTGAAATTCAAAAATTCCACCCCCAACCCCCAGACCCAAGAATCTCCCAGCTTCTCTCCTGCTGGTGCAAGTACACCAGGATTGTGGAATTGGCAATTATACTGCCATGACTTCGCCTTCTCTTAGGATAGTTGAATTGTTCTGCTCTTCTTAAAGTACAAGCATCTCAAACACATTCACAAATATTTACTATACAGATGGGAAGCTCATTTTATTTCATTTACTACTTCTCAATGATGTCCAATAGCCAAAGTTCTCTGGGCAGTTTACAAAGATTAAAAGCCTTAAAAGTAAAATATTGTGCATAATATAAAACCTCTTTACACACAAACATAAACAGCACACATACACACCTCTAAAACTTTTAACAAGTGAGAATAAGCAATCCAGGGCCCATTAAAATCTATTCCATCTATGAAATGCGCTCCCCAGAAAGGTCCGCCTGGCACCGTCATTATTTGTTTTTCAGCGCCAGGCTAAGACCTTTTTATTTAAACAATATTTTAACAATGTTTAATATTATCTATAGGTTTGAACTTCCAGCCAGAATGAATCGGGGGTTTTAATTAGTGTAATTTGTATTTTTTGTATTTGTATTGGGCACTATGTTGTCTATTTATGTTTATTTATGTAAGCCGTCCTGAGGCGTTAAGCGATAGGACAGCGTATAAAAACTCCAAACAAACAAACAAATAAATAAAATTAAAAACTTATCACCTTCTAAGCCTTCTTCAGAGAAGGCACCTGGAGGAGGGCCTCAGATGACGAATGCTGTATACAGACAGGTGCCTGCCAGGAAAGGCATTCTCTCAGGTACTGCACACCTGACCTGTGTAAGACTTTACACATCAGAAGTAGCACCCTGAATCAGGTTCAGAAACAAGAGAGCCGATGCAAGCGGACCAGAATCAGTGTTATATGCTTTGGCTTTCTTATCCTTGTTATCCCTCCGATCACTGCATTGTACAAACTACAGCTTCTGACCAATTGTGACCCAGTGTAAGGATGAAAAAGAAGTTAGACAATTGTCAAATTATCCCTCCATGCATGTCTCTAGAAACAAGATGTGGCCAGTGGCACAGTGGAAGTTGGACCTTACAGCCAAAAGCCAAGGCCCTACAGCCCACCCAGGAGGTAACGGGCAATCTCGCGGCATAAACAAGCTCCATTTTATTTCAGGAGTCATGATAGCACTATGAGTTAAGTAAGTCTAAAATGCAAACGTGTACATGTGCCAAATATTTTATAGGGTCAATAGGTTTCTTGGTGTTCTACACAGGGGTGGGTAATTTGTAGCCCTGAAGATGTTTTAGCCTACACCTCCCATCAGCCCTTGCCGACTGTGAGGAATGATATGAGCTATAAATTCAGAGGGCCATAAGTTACTCATCAATGTTCCTATGTATCAGGAATGTAGAAGCAATCTTAAAGCATACAAGAGGGTGGATGATGGAAGAAAACAATTAACTGTGTATTTCAGAAATGTAGTATACATGGCAATTTAAAGGGTGTTCCAAAAACGCTATTAAATCCAGGGCTAAAATTGCACAGCTGCACCAATATATGGACCTGTCCCTATTCAGGGATTTATCTTCTAGAAACTGGGAGAAGGAAACTCAAGTGGGCAGGCCTCCTCTGTGTTTGTTTGCATACCAGCAAAACTCACTTGCCCCAAAGGACAAAACTGGGACAAGATTTTACTAGAGACAATTACTAGAAAATAGGGGCTGTCCCAAGAGAAGTTGGAGGCTATGGCATAAAAGTAAAACTAGAAACCTGACCAGCTCTGGGTCTTTAACTGTAGGCCCTTCACAAGTTAAAGAAAATCATGCTGTATGAGAATTAAATTAATACATTCAAATTATGCAAGAAAAAACTGCAGCCCATAATACCGATAAGCCTCATCTTTCCCTATGATAGAAAACAATTTCAAATGTTTAGGGTCTTCAGCAAAGACAAGGGTACATGCAACCACAGATGACTCAGAAAGAATTATGCTGATCTAAGATAAAAATTCCAATATATCATCATGTAGGCAATACAGCTCTGCAACAACTGTGTAGCTGAGAAAGGTTTCCACTGGAAAACGTGTAGGATACATATGAATCATCAAATAGAAATCAGTGATCCTAGAAAGTATGTATGTTGTTGAGGAAAATGTCCTGAATTACAGTGTCCTTCAGAGTGATTGCCAAGTGCTGCAGCAACCTGGACTCAAGCGTTCCTCCTAGACTTGTGCAATGGGGGCTCATGGCAACTGCATTACATTTCTGGTTA